AGAAATAATAGGTAAAACTGTGACAGAAGAAATGATCTGATATAACTGGAAATACATAACATGGCATACATTTTATCAGCATGGGTTTTATGAGCATAGAAAAATAATAGATATATACAACAATATCCCAAATTGTTATATGAAATGTGCATAAATAACATATTGATAATGATATTTCATTATCAAAAATTAAATAAATGAGAATACGGGAAAAATAAAGGGGGTAGGAAAGAGGGTAAAGAAAAAAGGGATGAGGAAGGGCTGCTATAATTTATAACGATTAATACATATAGATAAGATAAGGAGGAAAAATATACACAGGACAGGATAATGTAAGGAGGAAAAATATACACAGGACAGAATTAATCTGTCCTGTGTATATTTCCAAATTGTACATATAGTACTTACTAAAAAATTACCACCCACGAGATGTAGAATGTAGACCACCCACAAGAAGAAACCTGTAGAGGAGGACAATGTTATTATTATACTTAGAAATCGTAAATTGTGTATATGATGCCTAAAAATAATGGTGGTGGTAACTTGCACAAGGATAATAGCTGTTATAATATAGTTGCTATCTCCAGTTCCTCATTAAGGCCAGCTGGAGACAGGGTGTCTAGGGCATAAATCCAGAAGGTTTCCCTCTGAAAGAGCTTATGAAAATACTCCGCATCAGGGAGATAGCCTCAATGACCCAGTCCCGTAGTCCAATGGTGGATTTGTTTTGGACCTCTGAAAAATGTCTGGGAACGCTGCGCTTATCTTTTCCTCCTTCAAAAGTCTTAATAAATTCAGTAGATAGGGAATCAATTAGGCAACGATGCTCGCCAAATCTGGTGCAGAGGGTCCGAATGTTGCAACCTATGTACAGGAGACCGCATGGACGTGAGGCAGTAGACTCTATGTGGTCTCCTGTACGTGGCCTTCGCTCCAGATTTGGCGAGCATTGTCGCCTAATTGATTCCCTATCTACTGAATTTATTAAGACTATATGGACTGCATATTCCGTGCATGTTTTTATTTCCCTGTACAGAGCTCTTCCAGATTATCCATTGTTCTTCTGTTCCAAGGACCGGTTTTCCACCCTGCTTCACGGTTGCTTTCTTTAGCAGCATGTCTGTTGAAGCCAGGGTTCTAAGAGATGGGCAGTCTGAATCAGTGATTTCTACAAAAGCTAGGAAGTCTACTTCTGACAAGGTCGATCACCACATGGTGGAATGCATACTTTGCTTGGTGCAAGTAGAGTAACTTTTCTTTTCAGGTAAGTCTCCAAGGAATGTATCCTGGCCTTCTCGAAAGTGGCGCTGGACCAACATTTGTGCATTACCACCAAGGGTCAGATCTTAACATTTGCAATCTTGTTCCACAATCCTCTGCCTTCCCATTCTTTAAGACCTACAGCATGTGTACAGTGTGTCTCCCATACAGCTCCCCCAGCATTCTCCCTTTGTAACTCTTGGAATCTAAATTTAGTTCTCTTAGCACTTTAGAGACTGTTTTAAACCGATGAGGGATATTCCTCTTTCCACTCTCACAAAGTTGCGTTTCTGGTTGCAAAGTCTCCTACAGGAACAAGGTGGTGTTGAGGCTTAGAGGTACTTTCCTAAGGTAGTTCTAACCTCAGCCAGAACATCATCCATTCCTTTGGCAAGTTTCAGCTCATTAGGGGAAATCTCCCTTCATTGGCTGGATATACAGTGCCTTGAAAAAGTATTCATACCCCTTAAAATTTTCCACATTTTGTCATGTTACAACCAAAAACGTAAATGTATTTTATTGGGATTTTATGTGACAGACCAACACTAAGTGGCACATAATTGTGAAGTGGAAGAAAAATGATAAATGGTAAATCCATATGTTAGAATGGCCCAATCAAAGTCCATACCTAAATCCAATTGAGAATCTGTGGCAAGACTTGAAAATTGCTGTTCACATGCGCTCTCCATCCAATCTGACTGAGCTTGAGCTATTTTGCAAAGAACGGGCAAAAACTTTACTCTCTAGATGTGCAAAACTGGTAGAGACATACCCAAATAAACTTGCAGCTGTAATTGCAGTGAAAGGTGGTTCTACAAAGTGTTGACTCAGGGGGGCTGAATACAAATGCACGCCACACTTTTCACATATTTGTAAAAAATTTTGAAAACCATTTATCATTTTCCTTCCACTTCACAATTATGTGCCACTTTGTGTTGGTCTATCACATAAAATCCCAATAAAATACATTTAAGTTTTTTTGGTTGTAACATGACAAAATGTGGAAAATTTCAAGGGGTATGAATACTTTTTCAAGGCACCGTAGTTTAAATAGCGTGGGTTAACCTCGCAACTACTGCATCACATTGGAAATCTGACTGCATTTTTTAATGGTTTTCGTTACGGTGGAACTTGCTTCTTGTTCCATAATTTCTTGGTGGCTTAGACAAACCATCATTCAGGTTTATGAGTTTAACAATCAGGTTTCTTTTCCCATTAAGGTGCATTCTACTAGATCTGTGAGCACTTCTTTTGGCTTTTAGCATCAAGCAAATGTTTCTCAGATATTCAAGGCTGCCACCTGGTCTTATGTTTACATGTTCTGTTAGATATACCAGATGTTGGTTCAGGCCTCATCTGATGCTATGCTTGGAGGTGAGGTCCTCCGTAGTGCTGTTTGGGTTGCAGGCAGGCCCCAGTTCTGTTTATTTCCTGTTTACATTTTTGTTATTTCAGTAAATGCATTTCTTTGAGTTCACCAGAGGCACCAGTCCCACTACTCTGCATTTATGATCGTGCTCATGATACTGCTTTGCCATAAAACTGAGGCATGCTAGGAGTAGGAGAGGTTTTACTGGGCTGGCCATAGTTTTTTTTTGTTTTTTTTTATCTTGCCAATCTCCAGACCTTCTATAGGTTGCAATATAACCTAACAGTCTCTGAAATCCTCTACCCCAAGAAATACTTTTTACAATAAATGCAAAATTCCCACTCACTACAATGCATGTGTTTTACCATTCCTAGCGGTGTGCTGTAGCACAAGCACATTGATGAGGTGCATTGGGTGCTATTAAAAATGAACTGCACCACAGAGCACCAACACACATAATGCACATGTTCACGTGTTAATACAGTGCAGCAATGTAAACCAAGCCTGGATCTCCCCCTCAGCACTAATTGTATGAAAAATAAATTTAGTATCAAATGCTCAGGAAGTGGGTAAATGATGCTGGATGCCATTCAGTCAGCTTGGAAGAGGACCTAGAGAACTAGGTAGAGCAGTGAGTCTAAGGTGGGGGTGATAAGTGCTGTGAACAAGGTGAGTATTGCAACGAGAGCTAATTCTTTTTTTATTATGAAGCACCCTGGCCATTTTATTTTGTTTTTTTATTTGAACTTGAGAGTTCTACCAAAAGCTGAGCTGCATTGTACATATGCTTTATCATGTTACTTCTGGTTATTTGCAATATTTTCCTCTAAAGTAAAATGTTTATATTTTCTACATTAAACTTCAGCACCAGCATATGCTTAAGTTTATTTTGCTTCCTTGCCACGCTGTTCAGTGCCAGGAGCTTAATATCAGGTACTCATGGGTATGGAGGTGGTTGTCGGGAAAAATTGGGACAATTAGCTGTCACTGGGAAGGTCATATATCTGTGTAAACTATATAAAATAAAGAAAGGTGAGCGCACTCCAGTGAGCGGCAAATGCACAAAAAAGGAACTACAAGCCCTTCCAACCAGGATAGAAACAATATAAGTGCAGCGCTACAAATAACCAAATGACAATTATATGCGGTCATAAAATATAGGAATATCAAAGATGATAAACAGTTCAGTGATGGGGGGACTCTCAGGGAGTATAGGTGCAATCCAATCCCAGGAATAGATAAATTGCCTGCTTACCAGAAGCGCAATTATAATACGCATGTACAGGTTACATGTAGCCGGGGTCCCATGTAGGCGCTGCTTTATAGTACCCAGATGGTCCGTCGGTGGTAAGACGATGCTGGCCTGGTCGGATCACACTGCTCCTTGGATCCACGCAGAGAACCTAAAAATGCTGGGGCTGAGGTATGGGAACTCAGTGCCAGATATAAGGAGTAAAAATACTCATAGTGTAGTATGTTTAAAAATTATTTATTAAATCCAATACGTAAACCCTAAAAGTTACAAAACGCATGCCTGCAGCCTGTAGCCAGTATAAGCAGCTTGAAAAAAAGATTCTATACACTGACCAGTGAGTACCAAAGGTGGGCCGCCGGACCTCCTGACCCTTCGCACGCCTTGACGTTACGCCGCCGGGCTGTAGCGCTGCACTTATATTGTTTCTATCTGTGTAAACTATGCCTCTGACAACTTCAAGCATAAACAGGGCTCTCCTTTCTCTCCTGGTGACTGAACAGAGTAGCATGCAAGCAAAAGTAATTAAGTGTATGATTCTAAAGAGTTCTGCCTTACAGTTTGCCTGTTGCTTTGTCCTGCATGGGCAGAACCACAGGTTCCCTGTAAGAAGCCTTATGTTTGTGATTAGTTTGTGTGGTTTACATTATGTTAAAGCAGAACTAAACTCTCTCAGTCACCGTTAACTAATTTTAATCCTTTTGCTACTAGCATTAGTAAATAGATAGGGAAGTATATCAAATTTCTTTAAATTTTTTTTTTTTTTTACATTTCTTCAATTACTTCCTATATGGTTTAAAAGTCTTCATAGCATTTGTTTTTCTTTCAGCTGAAGAAGGGGAGGAGGGGCTTTCTCAGCTAAGCACACCCTACTTGCCTGCTTGCCAGGAAGTCCTGGATGGCTGTAGCCAGGAATGCTAAGGGGGTGCTTTTCAAAGTGATTTTGCAGCAAAATAAAGCATGGAGATATGAATGATGGGGCAAGTTTGCTTTGAATTAAAATGTATTTAATAACATTTTAGGTATGTGGTGCTTAGGTACAGTTTAGTTCCGCTTTAAAGACAATTGGATTTTGTAAAATAGGAACCAGAAATTGACTTCTTGTATGCCATCCTTTAGGCGGCCTACCTCGTGGGCATTTCTGACCCCAATAGCCAAGCTGGTCAGCAGGGGCTTGTTGATCCCATTCAATTTGCCAGAGCCAATCAAGCCATCCAAATGGCATGCCAGAACCTAGTGGATCCAGCCAGCAGTCCATCTCAGGTAAGTGTCATTTGGACATTCATTGATGCAAACAAGGTATTTGTTTTCCTTTTATTGAGGAAATCAGTGTAAGTTCTTGCAACTTGCTCTGATTCAGCATAAACCATTATGTTTTAATTAGCTAAAGTATAATGAGAAAAGTATGGTAACCCATTGTGTTTTATTATGTAAGCCTGTTTTTTACAATTTTGTATTATGTCTTTAAAGTCTGTTTAATCTATGGCTTTTTCAGACAAAACACGTTTACTTTTGTTTGCTGTTTGTATGTATGTAAATTTGCATGTCTATTTTGCAAGAAATGTTTGTAAATGCAACACAGGATGTTGAGGTCTTGTTTGTTGTTGGCTCTGTCTATATTTGTCTGCTTGTTCTGTAGGTTCTGTCAGCTGCCACAATAGTTGCCAAACACACATCCGCGCTGTGCAATGCCTGCCGCATTGCATCTTCCAAAACAGCCAATCCTGTGGCTAAGAGGCACTTTGTCCAGTCAGCCAAAGAGGTGGCGAACAGTACTGCCAACTTAGTGAAAACTATCAAGGTAATTCCACTGATTTTGTTTAATTACACTTTTATACGTCTGTTAGGACTGTAAAACTGTAGCTCAGCTATTCATAAAGTATACCTCAATTGTTACATTTTATTAAACCATATTTCTAAACTTCTTTTAAGAACAGAGCCTCTATAAATTAGTGAAATAATGAAATGATCTATATGCTTAGCATACGTCGGTGCTAAAACCTATTATAGGAAATCTATAAGGAAAGAACATTGATGGCTGCCAATGCCGACCTCTTTTAAATACTATTTAACCTGGCTGTCATGCAGATCCAGTGGCTTTTGTGTTTTTGAATCCCTGACCTTGAATATGTATGCAGATAAGAAGTTCTGAGTTCATTCTTTCCAGTCTGGATGCTTATTTCAAGTCTGTATGTTACAGTCAGGCAACAGGGAATCCTAGGTCAGCAGTGCCAGCCCCTATATCTCTCTCACTACATATTTTGTCTTGTAACATTTTACCATCTTCTCTTTCTCATAGTACTTTGTGTATGAAAAAAGTAAAGCACATTTTCTATTTGCTCCCTTTTAGTCTCGTAAATGTTCAACTTAAAGCATTTTGCTATAAAAGCGCAAAAAGTACCTGTTGATCTTTTCAGAACTGTCTGGTGCTGTCTGCCTGTGTTGGCACATACTGTTTTGCCCTCCTAGTTCTTATTTTGGACTTCAAATGATTAGTGATTTAGATTGTAGAGTTCTGAGAGCGAAGTGATTAAGTAGTTTAGCAAAGGACACTAGGCAGGGCTGACATCACTTAGTCCACAAAAAAGCTGTGTGATGTCAGCCAGAAAATCAAGAGCCAAGTGCATTTCTGGCAGATCTACAGGTATTTGCGTTTGCAGGATCTTTTTAAAGGGATAAAATGCAGGGAATGTTCATGCATTGCAGAGGGTTTTTCTGTTTGTGTGGTTTTTTTTTTTTGTTTTTGTTTTTAGTCTGTGGTTTTGCCTTAACATACGCTTTAAGCTTTGTTCTGTAATATATTCAGTGGTTTACTCTTGTTCTTGTTGCATTATGTTCTTATGCTGCTTTGTCTATGAAATTGCCATTCTTTAATTATTCATTTTGCAATTCCCTTTATTTCTGTAAATGTATTTTATCCTGATATTGAAGAGAAAGGGGTATGTAAAGATGTAGTTGTATGTTCGGGTATATGCTAGCCGTCATTGTCCTGCTGCAGAATGAATTTTGGAGCGATCAGACACCTCTATGAGGAAATGAAATAACGAATATGTATTCGTCTGTGCTTTACAGTGTTGGTGAGACCATTAGTTCTGACCAAACCTTTAATTCCATGTGCAGAAAAGCAGCCTGAAGCTAGCAAGGATCCTTCAACATGCTTTTTGACAGTAGACACGCATCCTTGTACTGCTCAGGAACCCCCAACAGGGCACACATTGCTGGTACCTGATACTCCCTCATGCCTATATAGATGCTCCACAGCTCAATGCGGGGTCCCAGAAACCTGCAACACCTCCTGTGCCATGCATGTATCCTCTTTATTGCACAGCAATAAAAAGGTTAGAAACCTTAAAATATTTTTTTAGGAAATATTCTCCAATAGTGGAAAAGGGAGGGGGGAGGATTTTAATGGTTGAGGGTCTGCCTTAAGGGGAATATAGGTCCCTAATGGTAATTATAGGTATGGTATAGATAGGAAAATGTAATATTAATAAGACTTAATATCCATTTTACCTTGACTGAATCAACCATTTTCTTGGTGCCTTTTCAAATCTAAATCCTGTAGCCATGAATATCACCCAAGTTTTACACCCCGTTAACATCAAACCATACTTTAAAATCGTGCTACTTACAGTGAAGTCGCACAATTTCAAAGTCGAATGACTTGCTGATTTCAGGTGCGATTTGCAAGACATCTGATACAGATGTCTATGCAAATCGCACAAAACGTAGTGCATGTACTACTTTAAAAAATCCGCACGGCTCGAACAAGTTGGAACCCCACCAATATGACCGCTCTAATTGCGGACAATAGGCTGCGATTTGCAAGCCACATGCTAATTCACATCCAGTGTGACCAAGGTTTTAGGATTTTTTTTTTTTCCTGGTTTTCACTATTATCTCCTAATTACACAGTGAACATCAAGCTTGTATCATATTTTTTTCTCATACTGTAATTTTTTTTCTATTTTTGTCTTTATTTTAGTAGCTACAACATGTTAACACTTTTTTTCATGAATTACATATTTTAGTAAACCATCATCAGAAAAGTATATAGCATACTGCTCAGTTTTTCTGAAAGCAAATTGTATATGGAGATGTTTCCATCTCCAAAAAAACTTTGGCAGGACATCCATCCTACCACTGCTCGAGGTGTTTGGAGAACTGAAGTGGTCTATTTATAAAGGATTTTCACACAGTGAATGATTTTTGGATGTTCATCTGCCTGTGTTTGGTGGTATCCGTGTTTCATGTGGATTCATGTGTAATGTAGCAGACAGGTACATTTTGTTTGAATTTCATTGTGACAGGCTAGTCTTGTTAGTTGTTGAAATCTCTATATGCGGCTACTGATAGGTGAATCTTGTTAGAAAATTCACCTATCATTTAAAAAAAACTATGGTTAAATCCCCCTTTAAAATGTGACTGTGAATAGGACAAATCATCTTTAAAATAGGTTAGCAAGAATCGCCTGTCACATTTAAGTTTAAACAAGATTCACCTATCTGCATCATAGGGTGAATCCTCTTTGGGGAAAAAAATGTCATGAAATACAGATGGACGACCGTTCGCTAATTCTTTTTATAGATACCCGCCAAATTTCCTGTTGGGATAAATGTTTTTAGGTTGTACCAAATTACATAGAAAAAACAAAATCAAGTGAGCGCTAAGAGAAAAAAAAACATAAAAAGCAGTTAGCACAAATGGTGAACCCACTCCATAACACAATAAAGAAAATGAAAGTGCTGCACTGTGACTGACAATCATACAATTCATATGCAATCTGATATACTTTGCAACCACTGTGTGTTATTACACCAAAAACAATATAAATGTGCAATCATAAAAAAAAATTTAATAATTAAACAACACTTTAAAGGTCAAAGTAAAGGTGTATAGAGTCCTCAATCAAACATCCTTCAGTTCAAAAAGTGCTCCATAATGTTAAAACTGCACCCACAATCGCAGTCACAGAGTGAAGTGACATCCCAATGTGGAAAAGGAGACATCTTGTATTAGAAAATCCACCAAGGTAAGGAGAAATACTTACCTTGGAGGATTTTCTGCTACAAGCCTGGTTTATTTTAGTTCTGGTGAGTGCATAGTGGTGGAGGATTTCACAGATGTCTCCTTTTCCACACTGGGATGTCTCTTCACACTGACTGCAATTCACACTAATTGTGGGTGCAGTTTTAACATTATGGAGCACTTTTTGCACTGAAGGACATTTGATTGAGGATTCTATACACCTTTACTTTGACCTTTTAAGTATTTAATTATGTATTCTTTTTTTTTATGATTGCACCTAATTGCATAGTTGACCAGCAGGTGGTGCTGCCTCTGCTATTTGTAATTCTAGATTTTTCTGGCCTGAGAATACCCTGAGGGAATAGGGGTTTTAAGGCCTTTTGGACTATTTGCTTTAGCACACATGCATTGTTATGTGTTGTGACAATGCAGCCCCACTTATTTGGTACGTGGCATCATTTCTGGCCACATACATTGCACTGCAATTCACACCAGTTGGCAAGATGCATTTGAGTGCAGAACAAGTGGTGCTGTATTGCACAAACACATAATATAATAATAAATATATATATAGAGAGAGAGAGAGAGATTATAGATAATAGATATACACACAGAGTTAGGTTCATACATATTTTACACAATTTTTGTTTTTTTTCAGGTATTTACCAAAACCTATTCTAATTGGGGAAATTTGAGGGTATGTACATCCAAATTGGAGGAAGGGTTTAGGAATTACAGCTCTTAAGCGTAGCCATCCATTATATATATATATATATATATATATATATATATATATATATATATATATATATATATATATATATATATATATATATATATATATATATATATATATATAGTTATATCCATTACTATAACTATAGCTTGAATATGTTTTGATAAATACCTGAAAAAACTAAAATTGTGCCTTTGCCAAAATATATATGGACCTAACTGTATATATAAACTATAAATTATTTTTTTTTTTTTTTTTTTTTTTTTTTTTACTGACTTTTAATTTCCCTTCAATTGAAGAAATCCTTTTATTTGCCCTTCCTGGGTCTTCACCCTGTTGAAGGAAAGATCTAAACGAGTACCCTGCATCACTTCTCCAGACACAGGGTATCCCATTGCATTCCAGTCCTGCACTGATGGGCAAAGAAGAGGAGGAGGATTATTAACAGTGACAACTCCAGTTAGCCACCTCCTTCTTGTGTGTATCCTTGTAGCTTCTCAGGTGAAAACACTGCCTTGAAATCACTGCAGCTGAAATAGCATTGTCTCTCTGTGGGACTGGATGGATGACTAAATATTTATGTAATGAAGGTAGAATTCATATTAAAATTCATTTAAAAGTGACACTTATATGAAGTAGTAATGAAGATTTTACATGGGGTTTCTATTAGGCTACAGTTATAGCATATCTGTGAAAGTCTCAGGACTTCTTTCTGTCATCTCACTAATCTGGCAGCTTTTAATGTTCTGCTCTTTCTAGCAATTTGCTGCATTATTTTAACACAAACTCATAGCTCTCTTTGGCTGGCTCAGCATTAACTGACTGTTTTGTACATAGCTTATATAACAGTCCACATTTAAAGACATTAATGAGTGGACGCATTGCGATTTGCGGGTTTTTTTTTTTAAGGATTTACAGTAAGTGTCAGGGTAGGTTCATCATCGTATAAATTAATTCATATTTTTCACTTGGTATTTTTTTTTTTTTCCCCAATCTCTCCTCACAGACCTTAGATGGAGATTTTTCAGATGAGAATCGTGAGAAATGCAGCACAGCCACTGCCCCTCTCATTTCAGCTGTGGAGAACCTGACTGCTTTTGCATCAAACCCTGAATTTGCTAGTATTCCTGCTCAGATCAGTGCAGAGGTGAGGAGCTACTTGATATTGTCAGTGGTCTTATAGATCTGTAAGTGTATTTCAGTTCTTTATAACAGTATGGTGTCTGTCATACTTCTGTTTGTTTTACTCACACATTCAACTTTACAGCTTATTCAGGTTCTGGATTTTTTTTATCTGGTTACTTGGCCTTTGCTGAAGGGAAGGATAAGCCAGTCTAAACTTGATGCTGCCTTCAGTGAGATGACAAAACTAAATGCCTTGGCTTTTGCTTACGAGAGCAGCACTCAAATGAATCCCTTTCTCTTTATTCCTATGTCTTAGTGCTTGGCATAATAGAGCCCTTATAGAACTTAAGGTATTTACAAATCTAACGTCCTTTCATATCCCGAAATAAGTTTAATATTCGTCATTTATGGACACTAGGCTGAGCCATGCAGATCATTCCTTCAGCACCAGTGGCTTTGAGAACAGCTTTTGTATATTCCACGTAAAGCCTAATTTTATAGGACCGTTTATTCCGAACTGCATAGAGCTGTTTCAGGCTTGTTACCCATCAGTGCAGTGTATAGAAACCAATCATTCCATGGAGTACGGCTTGAGGACCAACAGCAGCAAATGATAACTAAGAAGAGAATATTAAAGTGTATCTAAACCCAAAAAGGAAATTGTATTTTTTTTTTCATCCACTGAGAGACACAGTCCTAATCTTCAGATTATACTGCCACCTGCCTACAAGAGGATTGGACTAAAAAAAAAAACCCAAAAAAACAAAGAAAACTGTAGGTCAACCAGGATAATCTCTCCTACTACTAGCATGCCTGAATTTTTTGATTTTTGATCAGTTTCTTAGGTGGATGGATGGCTTTTCTTTAGCTGTGCTGCAAAAAAAAACTAACCTGTTTTTTGCAAGCATTGTTGCTGCTAGAGCTGCTTTCTACGACTGCAATAATCTGGTGCAGCCTGTTCAAAGCTTGGCTTTTAGAGTGCTTGGACTGCACCATGCTGGGTTGAACATTGCAGGCTTGAATTGACCCATTGACTTGCACTGGGTTTCTGCGTAGGGTGCTTGCCAGACCCTGTTCTGGTAAAAAGTGAGCAGTGGAGCACTTTTCAGGTCAAGAGCCATTGGCTTGTCTTAGAACGAGCCCTGTCTCTGACAACCTGCTCTGTGAGTAGGCCAATTAGGTTGAGCAATGGGAACTACCCAATTTGTTTACATATCTTTATGCCTTTAAAACTTCTTCATAATCAGTAAATGCAGAAGCATCACCACAAGATTGTTTTGGGGAAAGTGCTGTCTTCTGCCATTACCTCAAAAATGCAAGAGACAATTTTGGCCCCTGTTGATGTGGTACTTGCTACTCTATATCTAAAGGGTCAGCCTTCTGTCTCCAGCCTTGGTTTAAGAGCTCCTACAGTTGCAAAGCCCTTTCCTCTATACCTGTTTTTCAAGGCATTCCTCTATAGAAAAAACAGTGCTGCACTAATCAAAACATTATCGTAACACTGTTGTAAAAGTGAAGATAAATCAATATTGTATACAATAGTATCACAAAAGTAACAAAACAAGTCCATTCACCGTACAATAGTGGAAAAAAGTCTCAAATGGATAATCTCAGTTCAAAAAACAATGTGCAAAGATTAAAGGAATTCATTTGAATGTGATCCACACCACTCCTCCACCTTATGTCACACAAGAAGCATGACCACAAAGCCCCCTGAATCAGAGAAGTCCGAAAACACTTGTGTTGATGTAACATCCAGCAAATCAGATGAACCCAAGATCTTGCAGCCTCCCCCCACTAGGCAACCTGGTCTCGCAATTCATAGAATCACATAAGGAGACATAAAAAAGAGCCAGATGCTCTACATAGCACAAAACATTTAGTAAAATAAACAAAAACTATTTAGATGTTAACAACATGTGTGATGACCTTTTCTCGTCAACTCCACCCTATGTGTTTCTGAGCTGGGAAAAGTTAATGCATGGTGTGCAGACATGCCCTTGGAGTCCCAGATGTCAGTTGTCCAGCAATGCAATGGTTAATAGCTATAGTTTTTTGGATAGGATTTAAATGAAAAGGCTCTTACCCAATCCCTTCTCCCTCTTTCGCTCATCCCCAGCCTGTAACACAATACCTGATTGGGGGAGTTGAATGAATGACAAAATTCTCTCGCTCCATTCACAGATAGTGTTACTTGCAGTGAAAGCAATGAAAGAACTTTTCTCAATGGAGGAGGGAGGGAGGAAGGGGCAGGTATGTGTCTGGAGCATTTTCTATCAAATTCAGCTCAGAGACCTGAAGTTATTAACCATTACAGCTCCAGAAGTTCAGACAGGAAGAGGACAGGTATCTCTGCAGTGAAGATTTCTACAGGATCCAGCTGCCTGTACAATGTAGGATACATAGATGCTTACCTGGCTCCTTATTCAATCCAGCGTTGTCCCTGTCTGCAGCAGTGCTTGTCTTCTCTCCCTCTCTTTGACAGCAGCAGAAGTCATTGGCTTCTACTGCTGTCAATCAAATCCTGTGAGGTGGCGGCAAAGCCGAGCAGCACAGTGTGGGCATTTGTAGACTTGGGAGCAAGGCCACATGAATGCTTCCATAGCAAGCAGCCTGCTGTGGGGGCACTCAGATAAGAGGAGTGGAGAGTGCCAGTGGGAGACTCCAGAAGAGGAGGTTCTGGGCTGCACTGTGCAATCCATTGCACCGAGCAGGTAAGTATAACATGTTTTCATTAAAAAATATACCTTTACAACCACTTTAAGCATACAGAGTATCTATTTCCTTTGCAATGACCTATAGCAATTGAAATATTTTATTTGTGCCTTTCTCTGATAAATCCTTGCCCTTTGACTAAAGTGAACGCAACATTACAGACAGAGTGATTAGTGTCAAAAATTGATGGATCCAAATATACATTCTCCTCACTGATATAACTATACTATTTAATTCTTTTGTAATATTGTTACTTCCAGGGGTCGAATGCTCAGGAACCTATTTTAGTATCTGCTGTTACCATGCTGGAGAGCTCCTCATCACTTATAAAGACAGCACGCTCTTTAGCAATCAATCCAAAAGATCCACCAACATGGTCAAGCCTGGCTGGTCACTCTCGTGTAGTATCTGACTCCATCAAGAGCTTGATTACATCCATCAGGTATGGAAAAGACATAGAAAACAGCCAAAAGAATAGTAGTTGTTTGTAGCAATGGTCCTGCAGAGGACTAGTAAATTGTCCTACGAAATTCACCACAATGGCCCACTCGGCGACAGTGTATAAATGACTCCAAATTAGCAGTTCTTGTCATGTTCATTGTGCTGTTGGTAATTATCCATGTTTTTTTTTTCCCCAGCAAAGAACGGTGCAGTCAGTTTTTTTTTCATAATTACTTTGAGGAGTTGCCTTTCTCCGAAATATAATGTTACATTCACATGGATGTTTGTATCTGACAGCAATAAAATGCCAGTAATTTGCACTTGAAAATTAGTTTACCTGCATTTAGATACATCTGCATTTTCAGCAGTTTTTTCCCAATACAGCATTCTTGTGGGGGGAATGTTCTATCCCAGGCACCTCCTTTTTCTCTTTGTAGGTAGCTTTCTGGTCAAGGAGATGAGCTGTGCAATTGAAATGGAGTACAGAGCAAAGCTGGTGGTTGCCATTCTGTGCCTGTTTGAGAGGAGAAGAAGATAGAGGGCTGGTTAACATCGGGTTTGCATGGGATGGTGGCATGCGTTCTCTGCTGGGTACAGTATGAAAGCCACTTTATTTAAAGGGCTGCAGATCACACTGGATCATGCCGTTAATACATTGGCATGCACATGCAGATCGCATGGGCAGTGCAGTCACCTGCTGGGCCAGAAATACGTACAGAATGTGCCTTTCCCTCATGTGTTCTGGTATGAAGTAGCCCTGAGGCAGAGAGAGAGGCAAACGTGTACATTCCCTAACATACTAGGGGATATTTTGTCTTGATGTATGAGGAAATCAGAACCTATCCTGACAAATTTTACAACTTTACTAGAATGTCAGTGTCCACATTTGACAGCTTACAAACTGTGGTTAGACCACGTCTGCAAAGAAGGAATACCAATATGAGCATGAATGAAAACCAACATGACGGTGAATACCAACATTTCAGGAATAAAGGGGAAAGTGTGTCATTATCTGCTGCTTAATGCAATGCATACTTGGCTTCAGATAGGAACGAAAAGTTGACCCTGAATGCAACACTCACTCTCCTTTTTCTAAACATAAATTGCAGTCAACTAAATGTTGCTAATTGTGTGAATAATATGATTGCTTTGCATTGTGCGAGTCCAGCTGCTTTTAGAAAAGTCTTTTAAATGCAGCTAAAGTCAGAAATTTAGAAACCTTTGTGAATGTAGGCTAAAGGTTCAACAGTTTTTGGTAGTACATGCTTAAAATGATAATGTGTGTTTTTTCTGTAATGAATATTGCCATACAGGACAGCTTTATACAATAATTTTAAGCACTGCATGAAAAAAACTATTAAGAGTGAAAATGATATATTTAATACCCACACCTCTATACCAACATTGATATATCTACGCATGCACCAAGATGATGGTGGTTGTTTTCAATTATTGTATTGAATTGGCCTTGTGTTGGAAAATCTCCCCCCACTCTGCTAACATTTATTTTAAAAATCTTCTGAAAATGTATTCAATCATTTAAATGTTTATCCATGAAGGTTTTTGAAAAGCAATTAAGTAAACAATTTTAAGAATATTTTGTGTAATGGCTGTTTCATGGGTTTAGTCATTATTGTCAGAAATGTTGTGGAAGTAGCTTTTTTTAAGAACGAAAGATGGTAATATTACATCTCTCTATCAATGCTCCTTTTTGAATCAGTCACACGTTATTGCAACAGGAAAAATAAATCTTTAGTTGTCTGTTGATGTAAAGCTGGGATAGTTTAATGGCTTATCATGACAGCTCAACAAAACAATATAATCACACTGGTATTTCACTTTGATTCTTCTCCATGTAGGGACAAAGCACCAGGACAGAGAGAATGTGACCAGTCTATTGATAGCATCAACCGATGTATTCGTGATATTGAACAGGCATCTCTTGCTAGTGTCAGCCAAAATCTGGCTATGAGAGATGATATATCACTAGAGGTAGGTGTCCTCGCAGAATTCTTTTTTTTTTTTTTTTTTTTTTTTTTTTTTAACACTTCCAGATGAAACTGATAGTAGTTTTCAGATATTACCAAGTTCATTAGGATATTTAACGGTGATGTATTTATATAATAAACAAAAATGTTATAATTGTATTCAAATGTAATTACAGGCAGGTAATCTGATTTTGACTATAGGAAGATAGTTCACATAATAGAAATGTAATATATGTTAGATTTTTAGTTTCATGTGCACTGGCCATGAGGCTGGATTTTTTTTTCTTAAATTCTTTAAGACACTGATCCAAATACAGATAAAAAATTCCTTCAGTATATACACAGTATACATAATCAGAATGTATAGTCGTGGATTATTCTCAGGGTATTTAAATAAACATATTAGTGACCGCTGCTCCATCTCACACTTTCCATTTCCTGAATAGCAGAAGGGTAAGTAGAGGTCAGAGATTTATGTAGGAACCCAAGGAAAGAGTAGAGAAAGGACGTCTGAAAAGTAATAGGGGAATAGAAGCAAAATAAAGGGGGAGAAGGGTATGGGAAGACGGGATCAATTAAAAGGTAGGGAGGTAAACCCGGCCATGGATCGAATCTGGGCCGGTTGAGCAGGAACCAGCTAAGATTCAATCCATATATGGGGGGCTAGTTGTACTGAAGTTGATCCATCAATCGTCTTCAATACTACCAGCCTGTCAGATTTTTTTCACACACTTACTCCCGGTGGCTAAAGCCACTAGCGGTAATCATTGTGTTCTGCCAGCGGGAAGGCTCCCTGCCAGAAGAACACAATGGCACTGTGGAGGGATTTCCACATCAACACTGAGTGTCCCTTGGCTAAAGCGTTGGACTGAGGATCCTCTGTACTTCCATCTTTGTCTGGCTGTAGTTCATCAGAAGGAGATCTCCCTTTTTTGTCTAGTTGTAGTTTGTGCTGTGGGAGTGTAAAGGCTGGTATACACAGACTGAAAATCGACCGGTTCAGCAGAAATGACCAGTTTCTGTCAGCCAATGGTTGCAGCATTGATCAGTGTATTCTGATGGGACTAGGTGGGGGAATAGAATAGCACAGCAGGGGAGATCCCTGCATCTACATAGTTTGTGTGGAGGCTGGGAATCTGTGGGCTTTTTTTTTTTTTTTTTTTTCAATTCAACCCACTGGCTGAATGAAAGAAAACCTTCCCAAATATACCCAAGTTAACTCTCAGCCACTTTTTCCCTCAGAAAGATGGACTTATCAGGTAACATATCCAATATCCTGTATTGTAAAGCTTATAATTAGTAGTTTGTCTAAATTACATCTCGTTTTCAGCTACACTTTGATAGCAACCACCCTGCACTTTTTTTGTTTGTACATCTCCGGATCAGAGTTGGACAGCAGTAAATGCATTCTATCCATAGGGCTCAGGTCTATTCTAATGCAGTAAGGGCATTAGGTACAACTAAATGGAAGCACACACATTTGTTCTTTCACACAAGCCTTAATATTTTTTTTTTACTGCTTTATGAAAATAGATGATCACACACTTTTTTGCCCAGAGTTTACATTTTTCTGTACATTTTAAGATGTAATTTAGCAGTTATTTTGCATGACTTGAAATGTTCTGTGATTAGTATATTTTAGTCATGAATTTAAAAAGTGTTATCAATAGTCATTACCATAAATTGTAGGTTTTACTTTCATGTGCTTGGTTGCCCTTCATTAAGTAAAATTGCATTGTTTTAGCATTTGCTCTGACTTTTATGATAATTATTTAGGCGCTTCAAGAACAACTAACATCTGTGGTTCAAGAGATTGGTCACCTTGTGGATCCTATTACCACAGCTGCAAGAGGAGAAGCTGCTCAGCTCGGGCACAAGGTATATATATTAGTGGCATTTACTAGTGTATTAAAGCATTGTAAGTAAAGTGTGCACTCTGGAGTTACACCATGCAGTCCAGTTAAAACTAGGAAATACTATGAGTTGTAAAAGCTCTTCAGGAGAAAGCCAGGAATTCTACTTTTCTTGAAAATTATGAATTCAGCAAATGCTGAATTCGCTTTGCCATATTTTACAAGACACATGAGATGATTCTTAGTCCGTGAGATGTATGCTGCTACCTTCAGTTTATTGGACACTGGAAAAAGCTTTGCTGGGTCTGCCCACTAGTGTCCACATATAATCCTGCCCTCTCTGTGAGGCTCCAGGTTTTTGCTGGTGTCCTTCGGTAATGGACGTCTTCTCCTCTTGGAGAAGAATTTCTTACTACTATTTCACTGTTTATTTACTTCCTTCATCTGACACTTCTATCAAGATCTGTCTCCTATATGCTCAAAGCTACCACCTGGTCTTCTGTTCACATATTTTACCAGGTGGACTATTCTGCTAATTTAATGCCAGCTTTGGACAAAAGGTCTTTCAGGCAGTCCTCAGTTCCCTGTTGCTTACTTTGGGCCTATTAGCGGTGGTTTGTTGTATTACCTACCTCTTTGTTGGACTTTTTTTTATATCTTGAAGTTTCAAAACTTCCTGTATCCCTCAGCGGCCAAGAAAGAAAGCAGGATTTTTGTTCCCACCATAAAATACACAGATTCTACACTGTGTTTGTGATCATGCCCTTGATACTACTTTTCTAGAATCAACTGAGGTTGATTTTGGGAGGGGTTATACCCATGGGTTGGCCTACAATTTTTTTTGTATGCTAGTGTCCAGTCATCCTGTAGATGACAGTTTAACACTTTAAAAGTTTAGGATTTTCTGTATGCTTCATTGGACTGACCTATGAAAAGGCTTTTTTATAGTGTGTACACAACTGTTTTTTGTTATGTTTTTTGTTTTTTTTTTAAATGAAATGTCCTGTTCTTGCCTTTCTAAGGGCTTTGGTTGTAACGCTATTGCAGCCAGTCTGATAATGTCAGTAAGACCTGGGTGTTGCTCTAACAGATAGATCTCACTCTTGGAAGCTGCTGCAGTGCCTTCTATGTGAGCTTTTTCTGCAAACTGTGTTTGCAGGCATTATTGGTAATTGTTTGTTTTCTTGATATTCTTGTCACACCGTATTTAGACTAGGTTTTGTATGTTTTAGGTTTAGTGCAGTTAGAATGGATATAGAAAAGAATCGCACCCCTTTAAAATAATCACATTTTGTTATTTTGCAAAATCACTGAGTTGGAAAAAGGATCACCCCCTTGTGTCAATATTTTGTTGAACCACCTTTTCCTTTAATTACAGCCTTTAGTCTGTTGGGACATGTCTATACTATCTTTGCACATCTAGACTTTCCAATATTTGCCCACCTTTCTTTGCAGAACTGCTCAAGTTCAGTTCAATTTGATGACTGTTTGTGGACTGCGGTCTTCAACTTATTCCACAGATTTTCAATGGGGGTTAGGTAAGGGCTCTGACTAGTCCATGCAAGGGCATTCACCTTTTTCTCCTTCAACCACTGTGGGGTTTTTTGCTGTGTGCTTTGGGTCATTGTCATGTTGGAAGGCAAACCTTGTTCCCATTGACAACTTTCTGGCAGAGAGCAGCAGATCTTCATCAAGAATTTGATAGTATTTCGCCCTATCCATTTTTCCTTTTATCCCAGCGTGCTTCATTCCCTGCTGCAGAGAAACACCCCCATAACAGGATATTACCACCCCCATGCTTTATTGTAGGAATGGTGTGATTTGGATGGTGAGCTGTATGGTATTTCCGCCAGACATCATTTAGTTTTGAAACCAAATAATTAAATTTTATTCTCATCTGACCATAACACCTTTTTCCATGTGGCCCCAGAATCTTCAAGGTGCATTTTGGCAAAGCTCAGTCATGACTGCATGTGGCGTTTCTTGAGGAGTGGCTTTTTCTTGCAACCCTCCCATACAAGCCACATTTGTGGATAATTTATGATATTGTTGTCACATGCACACAATGACCACTCTGTCATAAATTCCTGTAACTGCTTCACAGTTGCTGCAGGCCTCTTGTTAGCCTCTGACCAGTCTCCTGGCTCTTTCATCCAGTTTGGATCAATGTTCTGATCTAGGGAGGGTCTGTGTCATACCAAATACCCTTCCACTTCTTAATAATAGACTTCACTGTGCTTCTAGGCATTGATAAAGCCTTTTAATTTTTTTATATCCGATCTCCTGACATGTGCCTGTCCACAACTTTATCCCAGAGATCTTTTGACACTGCCTTGCCACCCATGCTTGATTGTTTGCTTCAGTTGCACTACCAAGGACGGAAATGCTCTTTTCATGCTTAACAAATCAAAATGACCATAGCTGATCACAGTTGAAAGTCAGATGGCTTTGTGTACCATTGAGAAGGTGATTGGCTACACCTGATTGAGTTTACAAGTCATTTTTAGGAGGGGGAGGGGTGATCCTTTTTCCAACTCAGTGATTCTGTTTCTGGAATTTTGTGTTTGTGTTAAGTCTTTTAGTTGGATGTTATAAGTTGCACTGAGTAAACACAGCTGGATAAAACAAAAATGGTGATTATTTTCAAGGCTGTACATCCAGCCTTTCTGTGACCTCGCTAGCAAATGGTCTCTTTGACTGTTTGGTGGGGTTTTCTCCTGCATCCTTAAAAGTATTTTGTTGCTGATTTTTATAGCTGGATTCCCTGAGGTGAATAAGCTCGCCAATAGGGGGTTTTGGACTCTACAATTTTTGTGTAGGGAGGTCCGCATTGGTGGGTCATAGCTTTTTCTCTCTTTTGGCTCATCTTAGATTAAGGATATAGAAGTGGATGCTTGTTTGCTGGGTTTTTCATATATCAAGACACACCTGTTTTCTAGTGGCAATTACATGCAACTACCTATAAATATGAAGAAACCAGGACTTTGGCAAAACATGTCGAGTTGGCATTGTTGAATTGTGAGCTTCAAGCCATGTGAAGTATCATGTTGGGTTTATATTTTTCAAAACTACTAATGTGATGCAGGTTTTTTTTTTAATGTTAATATGGAATAAAGCTTTTGAATTGATTTTAGTACATACTAAGTGTCATATTTGTTTCCTTTTCTTCTCATATAATCCTATCTAAATTGTCCCTTGGATTGTAAGCTCCTTGGCAGGTATGGATATGAATGTACAATATACATGGAAAGCGCTGCGTAGAATTGATGGAGCTGTAAAAGTACCTCCTAATAAATTAAATAACACAGAGATAAGCTCCTCAACCTTTTGCTGCTCTTTCACTGTTCAATCACTGGCTGGGGAGAGGAAGGTGGTCTAGCATTGTTGCCTAACTGAAGTATAGAAAAATCAGATCACAAGGTTGACTGCTTTCTGGCTAGGCTTAGTATATCTCAGAATTGGATGGACAGAATCAAAGAAAGGCTTTTGACAAGTAAAACCGTTCCCATATATGTAGATAAACTGTGTAGTGTTTTGCATGGAGATCAGCTTTAAGTCCTTATCAACCCTTAGTTAACCATAACCAGTCCCATTTAAGTCCGTCCTTTTTTTAATATAAACTTTTCAGTATTTTTTTTTTTTTTTTGGTTCATTTTCATTGTGTTGCATTAAAAAGTAGACTCATCACTTCACAATAAAAAAAATGCTTATGTCCCTACGGGTTATATAGATGCCTAAGTGCATTTGAAGTATGGACTGTCTTCTTCTGTGAATGTAATATGACTTTTATTTGCATGGATACTCACTCACTGGAGGACATTATTTTTTTACACAGGTCATTCAGCTTGCTCGCTACTTTGAACCTCTGATCCTAGCTGCTGTTGGTCTAGTTTCCAAAATTCTTGACCATCAACAACAGATGACTGTGCTGGATCAAACCAAGACACTTGCAGAGTCTGCATTACAGATGCTGTACGCTGCTAAGGAAGGTGGAGGTAATCCAAAGGTATGTTTTGCTAAAGTTTGAATATATGAAGTAGTAGGTGAATCACTGTGCTTATGTGCAAGCTCATCAGCTAGTGCATAAAAAATGCATAGCTGTGTAGCTTTTCATGCAAGGAATTTGAGATCTTAAGCAGTCCACCAATTTATCACACATTGAAATGACAAGATTTTTTTCACTTCAGTCTGTGCAAATAAAGGACATACAATGAAAAGAGCTAGAATATAAAGTGGTTTGACTATTCACATTTGCAAGTATCCTTGGAAGCATACATAAGCATATTTAACAAGGCAGTTTAAAAGAGCAATGCATACAGTAACTCATAGCAGCCTATCAGATTTAATTTTTAATATTTTCAAAGCAGTCTGAATAATGAATAATTATGCAGGATCCCGTAGCAAGCATTTGGCATCACTAATTGAAGTAGAAGCTGCGCAATGGCTGTACTCTAAAAAAAAAAATCACAAGCAATCAAGAGAGAAAATGTAAAAAGTTTTATCACAGATGTTTATAAAATTGAGGTATTTTTGTTTTTTGATTATGGGGAAATGAATTACTAGCATATGAACGATCAGTATGCATATACATCTTTTAAAGCTAGATATACATACATGCATGCAGTTCTTAATTCTATCCTTTTTTTGTTTTTTGAATAAAGCTGAAATAATACTTCAGTCTCACATTTAATGTATGTGTGTGTGTGGATATTTATTATAGGGTTTACACATGTCTATTTTCCGCAGGCATCGCATACGCATGATGCAATAGCAGAGGCAGCCCAGCTAATGAAAGAGGCAGTGGATGACCTTATGATCACCTTGAATGAGGCTGCCAGTGAAGTGGGCATGGTAGGAGGCATGGTAGATTCCATTGCAGATGCCATGAGCAAGGTGAGTTCTGTCACAGTGGGGAACATAACTGGAATCACACAATCAAAATTGGTGATTATATAGACATCCTAGAAAATTTACTTTAGGGTAACTGAACCATATTTAATTCTGATAGTACTTTTATTCTTAGTAGCATTATATGTTCCACAGTCCAATGATCTTTAGTCTACATTCCTAACCCATTGTGGTAATCTGTATTTATGTAGCCTCTTGTATAATGAGGCACTTGAAAGGATAGATATGTCCTATGCTTATTTACAGGTTCCTTGCAAAAAAAAAAGCTATATTATGTAAAATGTTCCAGCACGGAGACAATTGTTAGTGCAGTGTGATCTTTGATAACATGCCTTATTGTTTCTTTACAGTTGGATGAGGGCACACCACCAGAACCCACAGGAACATTTGTGGACTACCAAACCACAGGTGTTAAATATTCCAAAGCTATTGCAGTAACTGCACAAGAGATGGTAAGTATGAAATGTGCAAATGATTGAATATATTCGGTAGTGTCAGAGGCAGGTTTCTTCTTCTATGCAATGTACATTATTGATTTGCATATTCTTGCCACTGGCGCTGCTAAAATACCGATTTGCAATGAAAATTTTCTAAGGCGTCTTTTGCACAAGTGTGTGACACGGGTACTGGCATCAGCAAAGCGCCATCATCTAACACAGGAAGAAGATGCTGGCTCAAGCTTGGGGTATCCTACAATAAGGTGGTGCTGATTTGCAGCAGAGTCCTAAATACTGCCAACTGCTTGTTCTTACATGAAATGTGGAAATTAAGTTATTCATTTTGATTGATATCCGTTATAGAATTTAAATTTTGTTGCCACTATTTAGGTTTGCTAGAATTAAGTCCTACAGGAATGAGCTTCAAGCAGTTTGTAAGTGAAAATAGATCACAGTGGGGTCACAGTGGGGTTAAAGTAGTCTCATTTCTCTCCACTTGTTAATCACATTGGTGTTCCCTATTTCCCATTGATCTTTGTTTTGTTTTCAGATGACTAAATCTGTCACAAACCCCGAAGAGCTTGGTGGGCTTGCATCACAAGTAACCAGTGACTATGGAAACCTTGCTGTCCAAGGTCGCATGGCAGCAGCCACAGCTGAGCCCAAAGAGGTGAGATTTTGGGATTTACAGTGTGCAGAGTAATGGAAAAATGTGTATGTTAAAGAATTTTGTAGACCACAAATAATTGTTTTTGGTAACTTATTGTTGGCTTTTCTTAATTTTTTTTTTTTTTTTTTTTTTAAACACCTGTCAATCAAACACATCTTGTTTGCTTTGATACCGACAATTGCACAAAGTATTACAACAGTGGTGTTAGATCAGTGTGTTTTTTAACTTTTTTTTTTTTATTTTTTTTTTGTCACCCTTCACATGTACCCAAACTTTCAAGACACCTCAGGTCTAAAATGTAGAAAATGTAAATGTCACTTATCAGTGGGAAACCTGAGACTGGGACGATGCAGTCAACTTCCTTAATGAAATTAATTTCATGTTGGAGGTCCCTCAATCAAATCAAAGTCCACCCCTTCCTATCATAGTACATTTATTACATAAGAGATCCCAAGGTCATAGATTGCTCTCGTCATATTAGAAGCCCCACCCCACTCATCAGAGTCCCCCTAAACCTGAAACTCTCCATCACCTTGGAGTCCCGCCAGTCACCCAATCCCTTCCATCATCAAATCCCTCTTGCCGTCAGAGCCCTACCTTACAGCTTCAGCAGCATTTTAGGGGATGGGTGGTGGAGCAGGTCTGGTCAGAGCTGCAATTTGTCCTCTCCTGAATGTTGGGGGTGGCCCTGTGTGCAGCCTGCCATGCATCAGCATCATGCATTGTATGTTACCATGCCAAATTAGCAAATGACACCATGCATGCTGGCCCTAGAGCTTCATTGATTGATTTGTTGCTGGTAGCTGACCAGTCCACACTGTGGCAGTGCATGATGCTAATCTAGAGAAAGCTGTATTCCCTCCTCAGGGCACCCTGGTTGAAAAACCCTGGGTTAAATAGTATAGGCTGCAGAAAGACACCGCAGAGGTACAGGCAATCTCATAAATTGCTTGCTGCCTGCTCCTTTCAGTTTCTCTTTCAGTGCACAAAAGCAGAATGCAGTACACTGCTACATTGAATATATGGGCAATAAAACACAATTTCTGAAATTCTCAACACTCTACTGAAGTCACAACATGCTCCATATTTGCTACTCTTGAAGAAGAAATCTTAGAGATTTATCTCTTAAGGATGTTCATTGCAAAATTTAGTATTGAAAGATGTGTTTTGGATTGTAAAAGTTTAGTCTTGATGTATATGTTTTATTCATTGAAACATGCAGTTTGTCTCAATTACATAAATCCAAAGACAAACAAACGAAACCAGCACTCAAATCTTCATGCAAACTAGATGAAATTCGGAATGCCAACCGAGGAGGTGCAGCCCTTCAAAGATCAGGAAATCTGGATACTGATCAAAGCAAACAAGGGCGCACTCTCATCGTGCATTACCGCGGTACACCACATATTTATTGTGTAAACAAAAAGATGTATACTCACAAACCAAAGGTAAAATAAAAAGCAGAATATGTTATCCGCAATGGCAGTCCACACAATGCTGTGCCCTAATTAGGGATAAGCTGACGTGTTTTTGGAGACGTACCCCCTTCTTCAGAGCTAAAGTGTATGCCTGCTTGTCTCATGCTTATATACCAAAGAATGCCAAAGAGGTCAAAAACCCCTCCCCCCAACCACTCGTTAAGGACCAATGACAAGAAAAGCCGACTAGATACGCCTCAAAAAAAAAAAATTCTAATATAATATGCATAAATGAATGAATAAATACATATATAAATAATACAATGTATAATGAGACCACATCCATCACCAAACATATAAATGCAAGTATACTAATATATATATAGATATGGATGATTGACTGTACTCAATTATATCCTTCAGATGGGTTTGCATGGTTCTAATAGACAATCGCTATCCCAGATGGAACATATCAAAGATGTGATCATATAAGATAAGATCATACAAAATGTGAAGTATAATGTATATAACTAGTGTATGGATAAATTAATTAACCACCAGCCAGCGTGGCGTTTGTGGTTAATTAATTTTAAACCACCGCCATGCTGGTTTGGTGTGGATGTGACAAGCCATCGGAATAGAGGTGCGCATGCGCCCTGTGCAGCGATCCGTTCGCGCATGCGCAACGCACCGTGAATTTACCACGCATGCGCCGGAGGGACGCAGCGCCCGACACTCGCTGAGGATGCGTGTCAAACAGAGGGCAGAGGAGGATGGTATTACATGGCTCCCTGGGTAGTGTGGGAAATGCACTATTGATGTAAAAGTGCATGAACCAAGAGGGACATAAATGATAAATGTTAAATGTTGAAACCTCCTAGTGTGCTTTGAGAGAGAAAAAAAAATGAATGAATAACAGGAGCATGCTAATGACCAGATAATACAAAAATAAAAAATAAATTCTATATATACAAGCAAATTGACAAATGACAAAAAATGATGATGCTGCTAGTGTGGTGGGCAGTGAATATGTAAAAACATGCCCACAAATTCTGTTACAGTGTGCTGGTGCAAATAATGAGTCACACTGCATACTGAATATGGGAACTGTGCACCACGCTCCTGTGCTACAAAAAATATTCCATTGTTAAAAAGTCAATATAATATGGTACATGTAATATATAATATAAAATATAATATAGAATAGTTATGAAATTGTTGTAAATGTTAAAAAAAAAGAAATTATTAAAGTAAATTATATGGAAATATAAATCTAAAAATACGACTCTCCAGTTGGATATACGCCGGGCCAGCAGGGACACAAACATTTAATCTAAAACCTTAATAAATATGCTAAAACCAGGAAAAAATACCTATATATAATAAACATCATAAATGTCAATAATAAAAAAAATCATAAATGTCAATAATAAAAAAGAGTTGATACAGCCATATAAAAAATGAGATAAAATGTAGAAACGTAGAGAATATGTATAATAGATGGATGAACAATGTGAATAATAATATAAAAACATTATATGAATGACTATAGTCAAATGTGAAGGAGGAACAGGAAAAGGAGGGAGAGTGAGGCTGCAAAATGCAGTAAACAAACAACAAAACGAAACAAAAAACAACCTTTAAAACACATATTACTCCAGTGTGATGAGAAATGTATATATATTCCAATGTATATAAATATATAGAAACATGTTATGGGAAGCGAAAGATATGGTAATGGATCTATTTCACCTATTCCATGTGAAACACAATATAATGGATTCCCCATTGAGGGTGTTATCATAAATAATGTAAAAAAAAAATAAATCGCAAAATGGATGAGAAATAATAGTGACTCAAAATGATGCAGCAAACCTATGGACTCATTCCATCAATGGGAGACTAGACAAGAGATTGTACATCAAGTGTGTCGTTGAGGCCCTTAGACAACAACGTGTCTAATTTATGAATCCAATAGGACTCTTGTTGGCAGTGTTTTCTAAATCTTCTACCTGTATCAGTGTCTCCTTGTATGTTCTTAATGCCAAATACTTTGAGACCAACGGGGCTTTCATCATGTTTCCCACTAAAATGGCAGGACACTGTGTGTTTGTCGAACCCGTGTAGTATGTTGCGTTTATGTTCACCAAAACGGGTCCTCAATGAACGTGTGGTGTGACCCACATAAAGAAGTCCACATGGGCAGACCAGGCCATAAACCACAAACTGCATGCCGCAATTGATGAACTGCCTAATAGGATGAATCCTACCATCCATGCCCATGAAGTCCCTCCTTCTATGCCACATGCAAGGGAAAGCTCCACAATTAGCTACCCCACATTTGTAACTGCCTTTCTGATCAAAGATCGTACTCCATACTGAAATGGACCATGTGGTGGTGGGTTTAACCCTACTGGGAGCATTCATACTCCTCAAAGCCAGTGGATGTCGGAAGATGACCTCCGGGCGGGGGTTTGATATGAGTCTTAGAGACTACCCGTGAATCAAGTCCCACTCTAAGTTCCAAATCAAAGAACACTATCTTGAAATCATCCACAACATAAGTGAATTGAATCCCGTAGGGATTGGATTGACAATAGGAGATGAATTCCCTCAGCCTAGTGAGATCACCATCCCATATGATGAGAATGTCATCAATATACCGTGTCTATAACACTAAATTGGCTCCAAATGGATTGTTTTGCCAAATGCAATTCTGTTCCCAATACCCCATAAAAAGATTGACATAGCTAGGGGCAAACTTTGCTCCCATAGCTGTGCCTCTGATTTGCCTGTAGAATTTATCCATAAAAGAAACGTGATCTGGAAAGGGTGTAGAGAGTTGTCGTTGGCTAAAAGTGTTGCACTGCCTGAAGGGGGGAGGGTTTGTTGACCTCTTTGGCATTCTTTGGTATATAAGCATTGGACCAGCAGGCACACACTTTAGCTCTGAAGAAGGGGGTTCGTGTCCCGAAACGCGTCAACTTATCCTTAATTAGGGCACAGCATTGTATGGACTGCCATTGCGGATAACATATTCTGCTTTTTATTTTACCTTTGGTTTGTGAGTATACATCTTTTTGTTTACACAATAAATACGTGGTGTACCACGGTAATGCACGATGAGAGTGCGCCCTTGTTTGCTTTTGTTTATCAATTACATAAATAGCCAATTATGTGTGAAATTTTGCTAGCAGATTTAGTTAATTTTAGTGAACACATCTTCATCTTATTTACTTGGCTTAGTGAACATTCACATGGCTAAGTCAAACCAATGTGTGTTTCTCTGTTCTGAAAAATAAGAAAAAATTTATATTTTAAGAGCGTATGCTCCAAATGTCGCAACACCTTTAAACTGTAACTTTATGGTACATTCTGGCCACCACTGAACATTAAAGTTGAAGTTTAAGTATAATGTTATTGCTCAGTTACGTTGGTCAAGCAACCATAATAATGTAAACTTGAATGTAAGTATGGCATATCTCATATCTGCCTTGATTACTGTGTAAGCTGCAAAACTCTGTAGTAGTTGCCACTACTACAACAATAGCAGTAGTCTTTGGGTCCAATGCAGCTACAACTCTGCATACTAACACCAGGGAATCGCTCACTCAGCACTGCCACCTTTCAGAGAAAATCTTGTTTGTTTTTTTTTCAGTCAATACAAGGCGTTCTGTGATTTGGACAAGGTGGAGATGAGTGAGTCACCATTCTGCCTCTCCATTTTGTCCAATTGGAACACCTTGTATTCATCCAAAAAATACAAGAGTTTTTCTGAATCGCAGCAGTGCTGAATGAGTGTGACCTATGGTTACTGTGCAGAATTGCAGTCACTTAGCACTAGACCCAACTACCACAATGAACTGCAGCTTACACAGTGATTGGTCAGGTATGAGAAATGCTACCTAAATTGGTCCAAGCTGGACTAATGTAATTAAAAATAAAAATGCCTTAACTTCAACCTTAAACCCTTTATATATGGGAACAAGGGGAGCACAATCTTCTAGCTTAGTACTTATTGCTGTAGTGCACCAGTCACATATTTCCCTCTTGTTAGTAATATTGCGCTCTTGAAACACTTCTTCTTGTGATGCAAAAAAATTATCCTTGCTGCCCCTCAAATACTGGAAGTCAAATATAAAAAATAAACACTTAACAAAACTGCGCAATTATGTAAGCAAACTTCTGGGAACAAGCTGACACTGAATTCGATCTCGATACACTTTTCAAACTGATCTATAACCTAATAGTGCCATGCAGCACTCCCTCCATAAATCCAATGTGAATAATCATTGTATCTTTTATGAAATAACAGTGTGTGCATTGAAATAAAAAAAAAATACAAATTCTAAGTTTCAGTGCTTCGAAACATCAACAAAAAAGTATAAGAATGAAAAAAATTATAATGCGTACTGCATTAAATTCCCAAATATTACACAAGTCAATGAAACAAACCCAGAAAGTGATAACATCCAAATCCAGGTGTGTTAAACAATGCTCTTCTCACCATTTCACACTGTGCAGTGCTAAAAATCATCACCCAGTAACAGTCCAATCTGCCCACCTTAGTTTTGTGACCTCTATGATAATATGAGGTCTATACAGCTTGCTTCCCCAGTAAGGCTGGGTACACACGGGCCGAAAATGGTTGGTTCGCCAGGAACCAAACAATTTTTGGCCCATGTACAGCTTTTCTGTTCTACAGAAACTGGTCTTTCAGCCCACTTTTGTCGAATGGGATTACCAAACAACCAGCATCCGATCAGCACAGCCAGCTCTGATCACTGTGTCCTGTCACAACACAAAGGCACAGCAGGGAAGATTGCTACAGGAACCTTGCTTGTGTTTGTACAGCAATCCTGCTGGGTTGAATAAAAGACTTTGAGTATATCCAGCTTAGGGGTTATTGATATAGTCTTGTATCTTGCAGTAAACATTCAGATGAAAAGATGGCCAAACCATGTATGAAGCGGCATGAAAGAGCTCAATTTATTTATTTAAATAGGGGAATAAAAACAAAAAAGTGCATCATCAGAAGTACATCCACCCAGGTAACTTCCATTCAGAGAGTATGTGCCGAGTTACCACTCACGAGTGCCACTGGTCAGGACTGGATGCAGTAACATCATGACGACATCTGAACACAGGCTCCACCCTTTTGTTCAACTTTTGAAGAAGTCCCATTATTGAATGATATGCGTGAAGGTGCACAATACTCAGATCTTTCACTACAACCAATCCTATTCATTTAGTAATGTAAGAAGTAGAGGGTGGTGGTTACCTAGTACAGGCTTCAGAAAGTACACTTCTCTACAGGGCCCTGTGAGATGATCTGTGGATTACAGGAAATGCAGATTAAAGTTACACTAAATGATATCCTTTTTTTCCAAAAAATAATCCATACACATCCACTGCTTAAAGTGGTAGTAAACTTTTTTTAAAATAATTTTTTCTACAGGTAAGCTTATAATAAAGCTTACATGTAGGTGAATTGAATATCTCCTAAATGTGCACCGTTTAGGAGATATTCTATTGAGCGGCAGCCGGTGATGTCACCAGTGCATGTGCTCTGAAGGAACGGCATACCCATTCCTTTCCTTCAGAGCTGTGTGCCGCAGCCAAGACTCCCACATGCATTTGCTGGAGTGACGTCATCGCTGCTTGGCCAGTCAAGTGGCCTCAGCCCACGAACCCCGAAGGAAGACCAGGTGAAGATAGAAGCCTCCTTAGTGGGCACAGTGCTTCTAGAAGGCTTGTTTAACACCTTCCCACCCAGCCTATAGCATACTGATGGTCGGGCGGGACACTCCTCCTCCTGAGTGGGTGTTGTCCTGTTAGAAGGTGCCGCACACGCGGCCACGGTTTGGCGCGATTTGTCACTGGCTGTGTCCATAGGACACAGCTGATGACAGATCACTACACTGTCCCATTGCCCGTGTCATGTGACTGCTGTGACCAATCACTGTAGATCACATGACAATTGTATACAATGTATGGCTTCCTTTCATGCCATCCATTGTATACAATTGTGTTGTTAGCTGTAATTGGTCAAAGCCGTCACATGGTACATGCAGGGCCAATCACAGCCCATCTGTATCATGTGATGAGGTTTGCCCAATTACAGCTAGTCCCAACAAAGGACTGAATTAATCAGTTTCATTCAGTAACAATGGTTGGTAATGAAATACATTGGTATTAGCAATCATAATGTGTAAAAAAAAAAAAAAAAAAAATCCTGATTACTTGCCCAGAGTAGTTCAATGTTACTATGGTGACATTGTGTTGCTCTGGTCACAGTGTGTTGAAAAAACAAATCGTAAATAAGAAAACAATGTAATAAAAAAAGAAAAAATTTTAAATAAAAATCTTTTATTCTAATTTTTTTTTTTACATACTGTCACCAGTCATTGTTCGTGATCACCGCCACACCACGCCATATAATAACGCTGTACTGGACTAGTGACAATATGTAAAAAAAAAAACAACCAAATTGAATTTTTTTTTTTTTTAATTAATTTTCCAAAAAATTGTAAAAAAAACTCACTATGCCACTTATTAAATACCTTGGACTGTCTATTTTCCAAAAATGGGTAATTTCGGGGGTATTTGTACTATCCTGGCATTTTCGAGCCTCAAGAAATGATTTTGGCCGTCAGTACATTGTTCTATTGTCAGATATATACACCTTGGTTTGTGGACTTTATAACTTTCCTACAGACTAAATAATATACACTTATTCGGGGTATTTTTACCAAAGAAATGGAGCAGAATACATTTTTATCTAAATTTATGAAGACAGGTTATTTGCAAAATTCTATAACAGAGTCCAACAAAAACGTGTTTTTCTTTTTTTTTTTTTTTAAACGTTTTGGGGTTTTTTTTGTTTAGCAAAAAATAAAAAAAACTCAGTAGTGATTAAATACCACCAAAAGAAAGCTCCGTTTGTGTGAAAAAAATTCTAAGAACATTTTATGGGTACAGTGTTGCATGACCGCACAATTGTCCATTCATTCAGCACTGAAAGCGGAAGATTGGCCTGGGCAGCAGGGGGGTAAAAGTGCCCGCTATTGAAGTGGTTAAAGGCAAGTCTATCATAATGTAGTATGCAATGCATACTAGCACATTATGACATTGCCTTGCAGGGAGAGGCCTTTTTTCCCCTCAAGTTTACTACAGTTTTAATAGCCGTGTAACCTACTTTTCATGAAATTGTTTAAGAGTGAGTTTGTCTCCTTGAAATCTCCTCTGTGAGCTCCTGAACCTCTCCTTCTTCCCTTCTCTTCCATTTGGTTGGAAGGAGAAGTGCATGCTAGTTGCAGTCATGTACACTACAAAGTCCGCAATCCATCTTGACAGCAAGCAACAGAGGGTTGCTACATTCTACTCACAGGGGACCATAGAGAATGAACGTAGCCACCCTCTAACAGGAAGTCACATCACAACACCAAAAGCAAAGGAATTTGGAAGCAGCTGAGAGAAATAGAAGGTGCTTTTTTGTGTCATTTTAAAGTAAACTGAGTGGCAATTCAGTTGTTGGCACTTTTGCAGACTTCTGGAACGCACTATTACCTCACTGATAGTTGTCAGTTTGTAAATTTACATTTTGTCCTCCCTAAACCAATACATTTTAGATGTATCGGGTTTAAGTAGATTTCTTCAAAATAACTGGTTAAACTAGATTTTTTGTTTCATTTTCAAAAAGGTCCTGTATTCCCTTTTTTAGGTTGGGTTCCAAATTAAAACAAGGATCCAGGATTTGGGACATGGTTGTATTTTTTTGGTGCAGAAAGCTGGAGCTTTACAGATTTGTCCATCTGACAGTTATACCAAGCGGGAGTTGATTGAATGTGCCCGGGCTGTGACAGAAAAGGTGAATTAAAGTAGTATATTTTTCCAGTGTACTATCATAACTTAGGAGCATACACCTGAGGTCATTTTTTTCTTATACCAATTCCATACAACTCCTTAAGTATGACTCTATGTTGATGATAATGACTAAATATATATATATATCCCATTTACAGCTGTTTCTTTTTCTAATAAGTAGGGATAAGCCTTAACAGCTAATATTGATGTAGTGATCAATACAACCCTTGTATGATGTTTCATTGTATACCATTGCCATCATAAAACAGTTTGTTTAAAAAAGAAAAAAAACCTGACATTTTACACAAACCTCATTTGAAGCCAGTTTGCCATTTTAGAAAATTTGGAACACTAGTATATTTGTAGCAATTGCAGTCCCATATTAAATATGCTACTTTATTTCTTAATTTTGGTTGGTCAGACAATTAGGTATGTATAATATCTTGAAATGTGTTGTTCTCTATAGCAAAGACTTGTTTACTTATGATAAATTATGAAGGGTTCTTTCATGCACTTTAGTCCTGGAAATGCCTATTAGTAATCTGCCTTGTATGCCTACAACTTTGCTTCTGTTTACGTTTAGGTATCCCTGGTCCTGACTGCTTTTCAAGCAGGTAACAAGGGAACACAAGCCTGCATTACTGCAGCTTGTGCGGTATCTGGTATCATTGCAGATCTGGATACCACCATCATGTTTGCCACTGCTGGCACACTCAACTCTGAAAATAAGGAATCCTTTGCTGACCACAGGTGAGTTATCACAGAACTGTACATCATACACAGACACAATGACATGATCAGAATCTGAGACAGACAGTATAGAGGAGACTGTATCTTGTTTTCAGTTTCAGTCCTCAGCATAGAAGCTCTGTGGGGAGAATGTTTCACAACATTACAAACCTGCAAAATTTATTTTTATATTTGCTTTCATTTGAATGGATTATCTGCATCATGTATAACTGTTTTGTCTGCACAGGGAAAACATCCTTAAGACTGCCAAGGCTCTTGTAGAGGACACCAAGCTGCTGGTGTCAGGTGCTGCATCTAGTCAGGACAAGCTGGCACAGGCTGCCCAGTCATCAGCAAACACTATTACACAGCTGGCAGAGGTGGTGAAATTGGGTGCAGCCAGTCTAGGGTCTGATGATCCTGAAACCCAGGTGAGAAAAACAGTTGTTGGAAAAGTTCTTTTTTCACCTTTAGTTCCTCGGATATTCAGATCTTAGGGCTCTTTAACTTCTTACCTTTTTGCTCTCCTTTATACGCTCTTCAGCTCTATATCTATCTTCAAATAAGACGTCCAGGCTTGGAAACGATATTCCAAATGAACACGGAAAACTGTCGGGTATAGTCCTTTAACGCGCTTGGCCCGTGTGTATCTCCTTTCCCTTTTCCCTTTTTGCTGTTCAAAGCCCTGGAAGATCTGGAGAAACTTGAAAGACTCCATGACACTGCAAGGCATAGGCAGACACTTGCTTTCATGGTTTCCACCAGTAAAATTCCATATAACGTTGTACCTGTTTGCTTCTAACTTCACTTTGCCTCTCACAAAAAAGCAGTAGTAGGGTTTTCCACTTCATTTGCAATAGTAGTTTGGCTTTTAACAGTCATATATTAAGGGGCTGCATTTATTACCAGGAGCAGACATAGTAATCTTTAACAACAAATCAGAATTTACATCTGTTTGCTTTTTTGTGATGGATAGGGGAGTATAAGGAAATTATAAAACGATGCAGGGTGGGGGGGGTTAGTGGCAGTGATTCACCTGTTTGGAAAGGTACATATACACAATTGTGTTGTAAATCGTGAAAAGGTAAAGTGGCCCAAATAAGGGTGCAGTACTAGGAAGTGAAAAGAAGACCAAGGTGTTCAACTTGTGTATTGAGTCCTATTTTTCATGGCTGAACCATTTTTTTAATTTTCAAGAGTGGGAAGGAAATTTTTTTTTTTTTGCTGCTGAGTCTTTCTTGGAAAGTCACTTTTTAGTACAGCTACAGGCAGCAGTAAAACCTGACAGAGGTTTTATATTTTTATTGATTTCCTTATCTCTATGGTTGAGACTTATGCTAACCATACTTTGCTTGAATTTCTGCCCATTCCTGCTAAATCGCCTGAAATTTGATCCACAGGTGAATCTCTTAACACCACCTGGTTTGACAAACTTCAACTTAAAAATCAAAGTGGCTGGATAAAACAATTCCTAGATGAAATGTGACTGCAACCAGTCAGATTTGACAGCCCATTTCCTGCAGATGGAGAAATCGACACATATGAGTCTTACTTCATGACAAAAAGTGAAGGGGATCCACTTGTAGTCTGTCTCAAACAAAAGAACATTTTTTTTTTTTTTTTGATTTGCACTTACATTCTTGTGCCCCAAATTATTTTTTTATGACCTTCAGTCTATTATGATGTTTTAAGAATCATGTTTTTGGCTCCAAGGAAAATGGCAAACTGTACTTAATGTCTGGGAAAAATCTGATGTCTCTGGTATAAAAAGGGTTGAGCACCTGTGAAAAAGGTGAATAATGTGTGACTTTAAATAAAACAGGAATATGATGGGGTGTTGGGGCTTCTGCACAACCTATTACTATACAGGATATTGCATTCTCCTTTGGGAGAATGCTGAAGAACAGGCAGTTTTGGAAGGATGACCTCAAGCTTTTCATTAGAGCCAGGACTTTGAAGCTTCTTCAATATTACAAGACAATAAACTTAAAGGTTAAGTTCACCTTTTTACAAAAAATAATAAATGCACATTTTTTTGCAGGTACAAAAAATGTGCATTTATTATTTTTTAGATTCTGGTGCCTGTAAAGCATTGCACCAGCAATCAGCAGATCGCTGCTGCCATGCAGGTCTCCTGCAGACCTGTCAGTATGTCAGCTTGCCCATACGGGATGTACGAGCAAAGAGATATACTGACAAGAAGAATCCATGAACTGCCACAGCGCTCCATAATGCCATGATAGTTCACTGAGAACTACAAGCCGACAGCTGCTAAGGCTGTCGGGACTTGTAGCTCATTCATTCACAGAACTCCATGAATGAATGATGCAGCCAGGCGAGCGGAGCCCCGCACAGCCACATTTTTTTCCCATTTGTGACAGCAAGCGAAGAAGATCCCCCGCTAGCTGTCTCAACAGGGAGCGAAAAGGAGTGGGGGCAGGTCCATTGTAACATTATATTTTACACCCTGAATATGGGTGTAACGTGTTAGGCAAACCTTTAAAAGATGCTGAATTTCAGAAGGCAGGAAAGGGCATGGTCTCTCGGGGCAAGTCTATTTGTTTCCTAGTACTGCTTCTGTCTCCTCACATGTAACACTTGAACAACATTGTACTCCTCTCACACCATTGTACTCCTTTCACACACCACTCTTTTCCATTCATAGTTTGAGATTGAATTGCTTCCACTCACTAGCCACAACTGTTGTGGTGTTTTAAAGAAATCCAGACCTGTTCAGCAAGAAATAACTAGCTTCAGTTAGCTTCCTTACCTACATGATTTTACATATGCCTTGGAGGAAGGTGTTTATCCCTTTTGAGAGATTTTAGGAGTTTTTTTTTTTTTTTTTTTTTTTTTTATTAGGAGGTTTTAGGGTCTATAACTTTGAGGAAGCGTTTCAAAAACATCTGACAGGAATCTGGAGAATACGATACGTTCTCTGTACACAATCTTTGGAGTTCTAATTTGCCCGGTCCTTGCTTATGCCCTGGTGTCTCAGATGCTGAGTAGGCTAAATTGATACAAGGTTAAGCTTCAGAACAGGTCTTCCCTGCATATATGGAATTGGTGGATCAGTTGGTTCAAGGTTTACAATATTTGTGTAGTGCGGCCCTGGACTCTGGCCAGTACCTCACTGCTGTTTTATGGCACTTTTTTTGGCTTAAGTTCTGGTCCGCAGATCAGACTTCCAAGAAGGTTCCTACTGAGATGCCGTTTGTGGGCAGCTGGCTGCTCAGTACATCCATGATTGAGATCATGAAGAACAACACCGGTAATATGAGTAGCTTTCTACCTGAGGCGCTGAAGCATAAACAGACACGACGTAGCATCTTCCAGATACAGGTTAGAGCCCCAGTCCTTTCTGCTGGATCATTTCTTTCCCTCCAACTTGCACCTTTCCCCTCAACATCTAGCTGACCTGCGTTCAGTGGTTCAAGGGCTCCTGGATCAAGGGGGTAATGGCCTTGATTTCTTCCTCTGAAAACGTAAGTATTACAGGTTACAGTTCCAAAGTTGGATTATGTCTGCCTAATTCTGGATCCTAAGGTCCCTGAACACCTTTGAAAGTGCATACGTTTCAAATGGAGTCGGTGCGCTCAGTGGTAGCTTCTCTAGACCAAGGGGATCTTCTGGCTTCAATCGACATCAAGGACGTTTATCTCAACATCCCCATTTGCTGCAACCACAATTGGTTCCTCCGGTTCATAGTAGGTAAGCTTCATTACCAATTCATAGCTCTTCTTGGCTATCTGGACAACCTGCTCCTATGAGAGCAGTCTGCATTAGATCTCGAATGTGATCTTTCTATCATGATCAAGTCACTGAAAGACTTCAGATGTACACTGAATCTTTGAAAATCAGTCCTTCTGCCCTCTTCTTGCTTGGAGTATTTTGGACTCTAGACATCTCTGTGGCCAGGATCTTTCTTTCGTAGGAAAAACTGCAGAAATTGCATCTTTATGTTAATCTAATTTCACTACCTTAATATAATTTTGCATGAGAGTCTTGGATTTCATGCTGTTTCCTTTTAAAGCTGTCGCTTATGAGCAACACCATTTCAGACCTCTACAGTGGGAGATTCTGGTCTAGTGGAACTTTTCTAGAGTTTCTGGACCAACAGAGCCATCATTCAGTTGGTGGTTTCCTTCCTCCCCTGCTTTCTGGGAAGTCATTTCTGCCCCTCAGTTGGCAGATAGTCACCATGGATGCCAGTCTTTTTGAGTGAGCGGGCATGATAACTAATAATTTGTCGGTTCAGGGTCAATAGGTCCGGAATAAACCTCTTTCCATTAGCATTCGGGTGCTTCAGGCGATCCATCTTTCTTTCTCTGATTGGACAGCTCAACTCTAGGGATGCCCAGTCAGTCACATTGGATAATGCCATGGCCGTGGCCTACATCAATTATCAGGGTTGCACCAAGAGATCAGCAGTGACCCCGTAGGCATTTTAGATTCTCAATTGGGCATAACTTCATGTCTCAGCCTTATCTGCAGTCTACGTTCAAGAAGTGGACAATAAACAAGCAGACTCAGTTGCCAGACTCCGAGTTGGGGAGAATGGTCTCTGCTGCTGAATGTTTGTTTTCCTCCAGATTTGCCAACATTGAGGGAGACCAGACGTGGATCTCTGTAAGTCCAGACTCAATCGGAAGGTTCCAAAGTTTTTGGTCAGAAATGTTGGATGATCTGGTTGCCCTGTAGTACCAGTACTCCCTGATGTGTGCCACCCCTCCCTGCAATTCATCTATCAGCTGTTTACCACAGAGCGAGAAAAAATTCTGATATTCTGGTTCTACTTATTAATCCGGATCTCGCACAGTTGATTGCCGATGTACTGTGGCATTTTCTAAATCGTAAAGATTTTCTTTCTCAAGGTTTGATGGTCTGTCCTGTTTTACAGTCACTGGCTTTTAACTGCATGGCTTTTGAAACTCAGGTGCTGAAGCATAAGGGTAGGTTCATATTTTTTCACAGAGTGCAGCTCCTTGTTGTTCTTATATTGTCAGCCCACCCTTCATTTTCTTTGGTGCTGCTTTGGGATGTCTCTCCTTTCATGTGGGACAAGCAAATGTTTTCTCTGAATCTCCCTCAACTGTTGTCCAGTCAGGCAAAATTCTCCCTGGGATGGTGCATTTCCAACTAAGCCATAGAACCCAGGAAATTGTTCTCACGCTCTCAACTGGATGAGATTAACAATGGACACAAGCCTGTTGGGCTGGGTGGGGTCTACAATTTCCTGATTTGTCCAGGAAATGTGGTCCCCCACAGGAATCAATGCTCCCCATCAGTGTTCTGCAGCTAAAAGTCATAAGACAGAGTCTCCTACATGGTTACCCAATCAGGGTGCAGCCGGACAACACCACAGCTGTGATCTACATACACGACCAAGGAGGTACCAAACGTTGGGCTGCCCTGAAGGAAGCAAGACTGCTTCTCTTCTTGGCAGAGAAACATATTCCTTCCTTCTATCTTCACACCAGGAGTGGAAAATTGGCAAGCAGACTTCCTGAGTCACCACTGCCTGAAATCAGGGGGGAGTGGGCTTTCCTTCTGGAGACTCTCCTGATCCTCTGATAGAAAGGGAGAACACAAGGTGTGGACATTATGGCATCCAAAATCAACAAAAAACTAGACACCCCAAAATGGTCCATGAAAAATTGGTACACAGACATACACAGGCTCCTGGTGGAAAAACCTTCAGCTCTTTCAAACAAGCCAGACCTCCTTCTGTCTCTAGACCCTAGGACCTTCTGACATATGGTTGTTGAGTCCCAGATCCTAAAAGATAGGGGAATTTCAGATTCTGTACCCACTTCACTCAGGGCGAGCAAAGCTACTTCTTGTAAGATCTACCATCGTAATTAGAAGGCATGCTTGGCTGGTGCAAAGCCAGGCATCTCAGCCCCTGGGAAAATTCTATTCCTCGCATTTTTGCCTTCCTTCAGTCTGGTCTGGACCTGCATCTGGCGTAAGGTACTTTAAAGGGAAAGGTTTTTGTCATATTAATTATATTCCAGAAACTTTTTTTTTTTTTTTACTATTTATTGATAAGAGCTTTTTTACAGCTCATGTCAAACCCCCACTTCGAACTGATTCTGGGATATCCCACTGATTCTGGGATCTCATTAGTAAGGTGGCCTTTTTGGTGGCCATTATCTCCATCAGGGTGTGTCCCTAAGTTGGAATCTCATTCTTGTAAGGAAATTTTTATGATCTTACATTAAAAAAATGGTTGTCCTAAGACTGAAACCCTCCTTCCTCCCCAAGATGGCTGCTTCCTTTTACCTCAGTGTCAGTATTTATCCTCTCTTCCTTATGTCCTGCCCCAAAGCACATCAAGGAGTTATACATCTGCTTCCTGGATGTAGTCAGCAGTTAAGGTCTACATAAAGGCAACATCTTCCCTCAAAAGGCCCAAAGAAGGGACTTCATGCTGCTTCTTCCACCACTGCTAGGTGGCTTGGGAGACTTTCCAGAGCTAAGGAAAGAACCCTTTCCCTAAGAGCATATCAGAGCCCATTACACCAGATGTGTCTGTGTTTCTTGGACTTTTCAGCATCAAGAATCCATTTCACAGGTTTGCGGGACTGCTACCTGGTCCTTCAAAGCTGTTACCTGAACATTTTTGGACTGTTGACCCTTGCTTTCTGTTGGCCTGTTTGCTTTGTTGTTGCCCACTCCTCAGTTTACCTAGCAATGTCCCATGGCCTGTGGCTACAAGTCCTGTACTATAATTGTGAAGATCATGGGAATTTTGACTTGCCTTAAATTCCATATCTTTGGATACAGGTCCATCCCCTGTGTCATCTCTGTGTCCTTATTGCTTGCTACAAAACTGCTGTCCAGTGAAGTACGTGGGGTTGTATGAGGGTGTAGGGGGGGGGGGGGGGTGTTCCAAGTTATGAAATGTACAGGTAAGCCAAAACTCCCATTTTTACAATAGGAAATGGTTAGAGCCTTTGGTGTTGCTGTGACTGCTGTCTGTAATCATCTTAGTGAGTTTCCTAACACCTGCCCCAGTAAAGGTGGCCAAAGGTCACCCAGGCAGCAATAAACACTTGGCAGGGGTTCTTAACCCACACTACTGCATACAAAACTGTAAAAGTTGCTGGAGTGAAGTAGCTAAATTGTAAAGGCTAAAAGTGTATGTTTTTTAATTACACCAACTGCTTCACTGTGTTTTAGTGAGTGTTTAATACACACAACTATTACCCATACCCGTAATTAAATATCAGAGTTACTGCAGTGGCTACAGCCCTTCGAATGATCATAATTTTTGTGGATGGGTTTTTATCAGTTGTACCTATTAGTTAGATTTTGGTATAAGTCCACTGTGTGTTTTTTTTTTCCTCTTGGTTTACTAAAATGTTTTTAGGTGTATTGCGCACATGATCAGGCATCTCACTGTGCATTAGATATGGGTGGAGACAGAACATATGAAGCTCATAATACCATAATGTAGTCTTTCTCTGTTCAGTAGGCACATATTTTAGTCATCAAATTCATTGTAAGTTATATAACAGACCTATTCCGCAGCTCCCCAATCTTATTATGACAGTAATAACAAGCTTCCATGCAGGGAAGGAGTTGGCATTCAGTGGAATCACTCTGGCCTGTTCAGTAAAGTCATTCAGAGTTCAAAGCTGAAATGCACATTTCAGATGATTGAAAGGTGACTGTTCATTGGTTAGTATCATGTACTGCACTTTTTAATAGACTGTACAGTATAGTGTACTATGCAATTTACCTACATTAATAGTATAGCTTTTGCAGTTTGGCTGTAGATATTGCTGCTGGTTTTATGACATTGAATGACTAATATTTCCAGACATGGTTATTTACTTTGTTGTGGAAGGTGAGCTTTCAGTCTGAGCAGAATTACAGTGGTAGTGACTTCATGTCATAACACAATAACGCTTCTTCTCCATGACAGCATTCAAACTTGGCCTCTGTGTCTCATGGTGAAAGCTTCATCTGGAACTGAGCAGATGTTCATTATGTTTCAGGCTTTCTGCGCTCTGAATGTATTGCTGCTTTCTGTGGCATTGCAGATTATAAACCTTTTGTTTAAATAGCATGTGTTGTTGATTTATCAATGAAGGCATTCTCAAAGTTTATATTTAAAAAAAAAAAAACAAACCTTTTTTCTCATGGGCCTATATTCTTCTTTTAGGTGGTGCTAATCAATGCAATAAAAGATGTTGCAAAGGCTCTAGGGGATCTAATAGGGGCCACAAAAGGTGCAGCAGGGAAGCCAGCAGATGATCCATCAATGTACCAGCTGAAAAGTGCAGCTAAGGTAATGTCTGTCAAAGAAAAAAACAAAAGAATTGAACAGATTCCATCCCTGGTACCTGTGCCAAAAGGATGTTTTTAAGTGTCTTCACTTACATGTATATATTTTTTTCCCCACTGTTTAGGTCATGGTGACAAATGTTACATCCCTGTTAAAGACTGTGAAAGCTGTGGAAGATGAAGCCACACGTGGAACCAGGGCATTGGAGGCCACAATTGAACACATCAAGCAGGAGCTAACTGTAAGGATCATGCTTGGTTAACACATGAGGGTGTAGGCAAAATAAACTGATGTTTGAACACAGGTGTGATATTTATGCTCTGGAAAGGTAGGACTATCACATAATGAAAAGACAAGCTCATTAAATTTGCATGCCCAGCACAAGCTTCATGGTTTCTTTGCCGGTAATTGGAAGTATGCTGCTACTTTGTGCAACAGATAGCAGCTTGCCCATTGGCTAATTTAAGAGCAGTACATGTATTTTAGGGGTTCAGATTAATGTACTCAATAAGGCGACTTTGTTTACAAGGTTTTAGTGAATGCCCCTATAGACTAAAGAAGCCTAGATTGGAATATTACATTTTTGTGGGTAAATTCCTCAGTAGATTTCAAATAGACCATTTATAAACAAAACCACTATTTCATTTCTGGTCATTAGGAGTAGAAAATGGTCACCCTTGCTTTTATACATAATGTCTTGTTTAGGTCTTCCAATCCAAGGGTGTTCCTGAAAAGACAACTTCTCCTGAGGAATCAATCCGGATGACCAAAGGAATCACTACAGCAACAGCAAAAGCAGTGGCAGCTGGAAATTCATGCCGGCAAGAAGATGTCATTGCTACTGCCAACCTGAGCCGAAAAGCTGTCTCAGATATGTTGACAGCCTGCAAGGTAATGGTGTACATGATCCAATAAAGTCCTTTTCTACGTTTCCAGAAAGTATAACAAAAAATATTTAGATTAACCTGATGTTTATTTTTAACTTTAGCAAGCAGTGTACCACCCAGATATCAGCGAAGAAACAAGGCAACGAGCTCTGAAATATGGAACAGAATGTACACAGGGATACCTGGAGATGCTGGAGCATGTGTTATTAGTGAGTTGCATTATGAGATATTAAAGCCGAACTCCAGGGAAGATAAAAATCCTCCTTTGCAGTGGGTCGACCCCTGGACTGCAAGAGTTAAATTCTCATTTACATCTAAGGGACGAGGAGAAGCACTTTTACCTACCCAATCCCACAGCTGCCACAGGCTCCTTCGGGCTGTAAGGCCCAACAGTCCCTGATGCTCCCCTGTGTTCTTGCAGTCAGATGCCCAGCATCATCGAGTTAGTCTGGCTGAAAAAAGACAAATGTCCATCCAGTTCAACCATTAAAAAAAAAAAAGTTATAATCCTATACCCACAGTTGATCCAGAAGAAGGAAAAAAACCTAGCAAAGCTGATCCAATTTGCTCCTGCAGGAAAAATATTCCTTCCTGATCCCCCGAGAGGCAATCCGATATTCCCTGGATCAAATTTACCTATAAATGTTAGTATTCAGTTATATTCTGTGTATCTAGACTGATGCAGAGCCCATAGCCCTGAATTAGACATGAGTATGCTGAGGAAAAGTCCACCAAAGGAGCAAAGGGTCTCGTGGGTAAGACCTAGACCAAAACCAGCATTTAACCCTTACAGTGCAGTTGCAGCCCTACTGCCGTGGAGGATTTTTGCTTCTCCTGAATTTGAGCTTTAAGAATGCTTTGACAATTAAAGTCAGTTTGTTGTACTTAATGTGGCATCCACCTATTTTTTAAATAACATCTGTTTCACAAACATGATTATGTAGATTTTACAGAAACCCAGTCCTGAGGCAAAACTTAAGTTGGCTGCCTATTCAAAACGCATTGCGTCTGCTGTAACAGAACTGATCCAGACCACAGAAACCATGAAAGGTGGGCCATTAACAAAATATTATTGTATATGTTTGTGTACCATAGCAGTAAGGAATGACATTTGTATGGGTATTTACCACTCACTGTGTGTTTTTTTTTTTTTTTTTTTTGTTTTTTTTTTTTTTGTGTAATGAACACATTCATGTTAATGAGATCTTTTTTTCTAATAGATACTGCTTTAGAATGTATCTCAGCCTCCTCCCCATATCTGCTAATGTTGCTAAATCTTCTTTATCTCCATGATTTTATTGTAATTCTAGGCACAGAATGGGTAGATCCTGAAGATCCCACAGTGATCGCCGAGACGGAGCTGCTTGGAGCTGCAGCTTCTATAGAGGCAGCAGCCAAAAAACTGGAACAGCTTAAGCCACGAGCCAAGCCAAGAGTAAGTACAAAGTTTGCAGTTCTCCTTGTAGTCACCTTCAACCAGCTGAGCCCATGCCTAGATATAATGCTGCTGTCTCAACTCATTGCTGCTCCTGTCAGACAACGTACAGATGAGTGTGACTTGTAATTTTTCATGTTACACATTCATTAAATGCATTCTGTGAGATAGAATATAGACGACAGTCTTTCTATTAAGTTGATGGTGAACTCTTAATGTAAGGAATGTCCTGATGGAGAGTCGCATTCCCTCCATGTCCCTTCTGTCAGTGGAATCGGTCCAAGAACCCTCTCCTGCAGCCTCTGTCTGATATGTTTGATATATTAGGTTGTTAATTCATTCAACTATATATCAAACATATTGCTACAGTGTCCTGCGTATGCTCCAGGGCTGTGTTGGGGGTGTACAGAGCAACAGCAGGAGGTTTTACCATCATTAAATATTAAAAAGAAAAAAAAAAAGGTTTCTATTGAACACTCAGTTTGATAGTATTCTGTTTCTCTCTTCATAGCAGGCAGATGAAACACTGGATTTCGAGGAGCAGATCCTGGAAGCAGCAAAGTCAATTGCAGCTGCTACAAGCGCGCTAGTGAAATCTGCTTCAGCGGCTCAGAGAGAGCTGGTGGCACAAGGCAAGGTGAGCAGACTGGTGCAGCTGGTAGTCACAGCAAATGCAGACTCTTCTACCTACTAGCCTGTTATTTTAGCTTTAAGATTGTATTTCGCTGGCAGATGTAAGATTTCTTAGGAGTCATTTTTTATCAAGTCAACATGGTGCTAATTATGATTATATTTGGAAAGTTGTGCTGCTGCTGAAAATGAATTCAGCTAATTCAAAGAAGCATTGCCTTTAACTTACAAAACATTTCATCACCAGAGTAAGGAACAACAATTCCAAGCTTTGTTTGCTATGTATGAGTATAGAATACAATATGAAGGAAGCAAGACTTAGGTCTTTTTGTGTTTAAAAATCCATGTGTGATCCATTCATCAAAATATTTGGATGGATAATTGTTTAGTCAGGTTTGTGGTTTGAATGCCCAGCCTTCACCTTTCTAATGAACAATCTGATAAGCTGTGTAATATTTACCTTTTGGCAGCTCCAAACTTACTGCTATAACTGCCAACTAAGCAGAAGCACACATGCCATCTGTATTTTCCCATAGCACAAAACACATTTGCTTTTGTTGTATTAGTGTTTTTGTTCACCCAGTGACTTTACTACATTTTAGCAGAGCGAAATTGTAAAGCCATTCCTTTGTTGTCAAATGTAACGGATGGCTCTGCAGACCTTGGTATACCATCATTAAAAATATATTAAATGTACCAATATACAGTGAGGAACAGAAGTATTTGAACACCCTGCGATTTTGCACGTTCTCCCACTTTGAAATCATGGAGGGGTCTGAAATTCACATTGTAGGTGCATTCCCACTCTGAGAGACAGAATTAAAAAAAAAATTCAGGAAATCACATTGTATAATTTTTAAAGAATTTATTTGTCTTACACTGCTGATCATAAGTATTTGAACACCTGAGAAAATCAGTGTTAATATTTGGTACAGAAGCCTTATTTGCAATTACAGAGGTCAAACGTTTCCTGTAGTTCTTGACCAGGTTTGCACACACTGCAACAGGCCCACTCCTCCACACAGATCTCCTCTAGATCTGTCAGGTTTTGGGGCTGTCGCTGAGCAAAACGGAGTTTCAGTTCCCTCAAAGATGTTCTATTGGATTTAGGTCTGGAGACTGGCTAGGCCACTCCAGAACCTTGATATGCTTCTTACGGAGCCACTCCTTAGTTATCCTGGCTGTGTGCTTCAGTCGTTGTCATGGAAGACCCAGCCACGACCCATCTTCAATGCTTTGACTGAGGGAAGGAGGTTGTTGCTCAAAATCTCACAATAAATGGCCCCATTCATCCTCTCCTTAATACAGTGCAGTCGTCCTGTCCCCTTCGCAGAAAAGCACCCCCAAAGCATAATGTTACTTCCCCCATGCTTCACAGTAGGGATGGTGTTCTTGGGATGCAACTCCTTCTTTTTCCTCCAAACACGACAAGTGAAGTTTAGACCAAAAAGTTCTACTTTGGTCTCATCTGACCACATGACTTTCTCCCATGCCTCCTCTGGATCATCCAGATGGTCATTGGCAAACTTCAGACAGGCCTGGACATGTGATGACTTCAGCAGGGGTACCTTCCGTGCAATGCATGATTTGAAACCATGACAGCGTAGTGTTCTACCGACAGTGACCTTTGAAACTGTGGTCCCAGCTCTCTTCATGTCCTTGACCAGCTCCTCCCTTGTAGTTCTGGGCTGATTCCTCACCTTTCTTATCAGTGATACCCACGAGGTGAGATCTTGCATGAAGCCCCAGTCCGAGGGAGGCTTAGAGTCGTCTTTAGCCTCTTCCATTTTCTAACAATTGCTCCAACAGTTGATCTATTTTCACCAATCTGCTTGGCAATTGCCCCGTAGCCCTTGCCAGCCTTGTGGAGGTCCACAATTTTGTCTCTGGTGTCTTTTGGCAGCTCTTTGGTCTTGCCCATGGTAGTAGTTGGGCGTCTGACTGACTGTGGGGTGGACAGTTGTCTTTAAAGAGCTCAGACAGGTGCTACTAAGTTAGATTAATGAGTGGAGTAGAGGTGGACTTTTTAAAGGCACAGTAACAGGTCTTTCAGTGCCAGAATTCTTGCTGTTTCTTAGGTGTTCAGATACTTATGTTCAGCAGTGCAAGACAAATAAATTCTTTAAAAATCATACAATGTGATTTTCTGAATTTTTTTAAAAATTCTGTCTGAGTGGGAATGCACCTACAATGTGAATTTCAGACCCCTCCATTATTTCTAAGTGGGAGAACTTGCAAAATCGCAGGGTGTTGAAATACTTCTGTTCCTCACTATACAAGAGAAAGCAATACAAATACTATTATTTTAAAAACAAAGTGTGATTTAACCTTTTTAGAAATGTACATTAAATGGAGAACTAGGAAGTAGACGCATAGTGGTATATACAGTAATAACATATTCAAATCATTCACACACTGATATGTACAGACATTGACAAACCTATTCAATCACTATTGTCATTTTAGAAAGATGCCTTTAGAGAAGCACACTGGCCACATTTCTTTGCCCAAGATAAAATTCTTTTAGACTAAAGCTGGGCTTACACTGTTTTATTTATTTATTTTGTATCCCTCTGCAAAAAGATGAAAAGATTCCCCCATCCACACAAGCATGCAGGATGAGGGATTCCTCCTCACTGGAACATTCTACTCTGACAGTGCAGTTGATAGAGAAGTTGTCCAACATGTCTTTTTAACAGAAGTCGATCAAACAGTTGACTTTTGTCGACTGGGAATGTCCACATACTGACTGAAATTTGGCTGGTCTTCCTGAACCAACCAAATTTCAATCAGTGCATGGGCAGCTTTATTCAGTAAACATGCAAGATGCAGTGCTCAAAGCAAGCAAGCAGAATGCTTCTTGTGCTGGTATAGTTAGTAATAGTTTGCCACATTAAACTGGACTTGTACTGAAATGTTGAAGACATTGTGCCATTTATCCAGCTAGCTTTCTCAGTTCCAAAAGGAACCTTAAAAATGAGGCTGTCTAGATGAGTATCAAGCATTTCATAAGTCCAGTGGCTAACTGCTGTAAGCTATACCATGGCCTGGAAATGAGAACCTTCAAATACTGTATTGGTGTGACTTCATGACATCCTTTCATTTAAACACCACTTTTTTTTGGTTACCACAGCTTTGTAGTTATTTTGAAACATTTTAAACCAGAGTACACTGTTGGAAGCAAAATGCCATCTAGTGTGTATGCACATTTACCAATGGAACCATACTAACCCAGAGCCAAGTAAGAAGGAAGAGATAGCTGCATGTTTTGAAATACAATGGGCCATGTGACTCCTTTTATCAACCTTAGTTTTGCTGCTACTTTACACAAGAGGACAGAGTTGACCAAACAAGGCAAAAATAGGAGAGAAAAACCAGAAGTTAAAATAGGAATGTAGTTCCTTGCTTCTTCGCTTTATTTGGCTCTGTTAGGTAGTGCTTTATGATGAATAAATCCATTAGTCAATTGTCCTATTTTTTCCACAAGCACTTCAGTACTGTAATGAGAAGGTGCCAGTGGTGTAATTTACATATAGTATCATTTTTATTGGTGGATGATATTACTGGAAAGGTTTATCAAGTGAGTTAATACAAGTCATAAGGATGCCCTGTGCTAAATCAGTGTCATATGCCCACAAAAAAATTCAAGATGTTTATCTGTGATTAGTTCGGAATTTTAGATTCTATTCCCATGTAAAACTGCACACGAGTGACTTAATTAGGAACTTGATTAGTGTACTGACCTTTATTTTATCACTTTGAGGAACAGAAGCCGTTATATGACTGCACAAAGTGTGAGTTACAGTGTTAGGAATGAAGCCTGTGGAATTAGGAGAGTAAGAAAATTAATGGGCCACTGATAAGACTGGATGTGTTAGAATGCCAGGCTTTAGGAAAGAACACTAGATTTCACTTTGTACGATCAATGGCAGGAGTGTAATTAGTTCTTGTCCCCTCTCCATGTCATCTCATTCATGCCACACGTAGTATTTTACTGATGTACATGATGCAGCTCTCTGCCAGCGTAAAATCATCAACAGCAGGGTTTGGCAGCAGTGGAATGACAATATGAGATTTGATAAGGTGTAGAAATGGCTTCTACTTTGACCTTGTCATAAGTTCTGCCTGAGCCTGAAGTGGGTTAATCCCCTCTTAGTATTTGGTAACCCACAGCTTTATCCTTAGCTGGATGGTATCCAGTAAATGGTTACACGACAAGTCTAACATGAATACCAGGGGAAATCCCTGGCTGGCAAACACTATAAAAAGCTGTTTAGTGCTGGCACCAATAGGAAATTCAAACCTTTAGCTGAAAGGCTTGAGGAATCATATTCATGTCTTTAAAAAAGGTAACAGAGGGCATCTGCAGTATATGGTGCTAAATAGCATACATACACCCTTTTGAGTACTGTACTGAAGTTCTATACTGTAAAAGATTCATGAGAATGCTTCCAGTTCTACATGTTTCCTTATAATCTTGGTTTATTATAATGGATTTATTACATATCTACTTTTGTCATTCTTCACTTTTTAAACTTTAATGTATTGAACATCCATGCCCATCTGTCATCTACAGTTTACAGCTATCACTTCTAAAAGGGGCTAAGCTGTACGGACATTTTTTTCCTCTGTTACACTGCACTGTAAGATACATGAGCTAATGTTTAATTAGGGGAATCTGTTTATTTATAGATACCTTTTAATTGCCCTTCAAAATTATAGTACATGTGTACAGGGCATGTCATTCACACCTTCTGTGTATCTTTCACTAATAGACCTGATATGTCTCAGCAGTTTTATTAAGGGTATTTTACAGCAAAGATTTCCACAATTCACATCCAACAAGCATATGAGCTATATTATGTACAACCCAGAAAACAAAGTTCATGGATACTTGCTGGGCCTCTTCCAAAACAGTCCCTCATTTCTCATTATCCATCTACAGTGTATCTGCTGTTCTTTGCTTTAAAGTGTATGTATAGCTAAAACTTTTTTTTTTTTTTTTTTTTTTTCAATGTTGGGTAGAGTGGGAAAACTTTAGAACCCTCTCAGTAATTTCAGCCATCAAAAGCTCTATTTAAGAGATTTTTTTTTTTTTTGCTTCCTGCCTGACCGTATATTTGTCCCCAGGACAAAAGCTGAGGGGAAAATGTATCTAATCGAACACAGAAAGTAAAAGTAAAAAAAACCTTTTCGGCTAGGTTCACACTCATGCTGTGCGGTACATTGCATGTGATTCGTACAGGAACCGCACCGCATTCCTGTGCAAATCACATGCCAATTGTGTGCGGTGCGATTTGTAATGTATGGCTCAGATCGCACCGCATCTGCAACAAATGGTTGCAGGACCCTTTTTTTGGGTCCGCATTAGAATCAGATCGTATGGGTATTCACACCTATGTGATCCAATTCTGCGCATCGCACCACGTTTTGCAGACCGATTTCAGGGTTTTGTTAACATACACACCCGCAGCTGTTTGCATGAACGGGGTGCGATTCTGATGCGGTGCGGAATTCGCACAGAAAACGTTGCGAATTCCAGACCGCATCAGTGTGAATCCAGGCTGAAGGTAGATAGGGGCTAGAACCCTTTTCAGCTATTTGTTTTTGTCTGGTTCCCTGTTGCTGATTTTTTACTCACTTGCTGTCTAGTAAAATGCCACCAGAACAGAAAGTGAGGAAATCTTTCTATAGGAGCCCCAGATAGTAGTAGTAATTGACAGGGGGGTCTAACTTCCCCATTCTATCCAAAACACAAAAGGAAAACTTTGCATTGACTTTTGAATGTTTGCAGGCCAATTTAATATGTGGTGCACAAATTTACAAATATGTGTACATGCAAATACCAGTGCTTGTAGATGTTGATGCAGACATTCAGAATCCTTCAAATTTAAGTTTACAATGATTTCCTGTTCGTACATGATATCTAGGATCCATATTAAATTATCTTTTCAGTATGGAAATGTTTCTTCCTCTTGGATTTCTTGTAGGTTGGAGCAATTGCGGCTAATGCAGCTGATGATGGTCAGTGGTCCCAGGGACTCATTTCTGCTGTAAGTATTTTATTGGATGTTTCGCTTTATTTGATCCTATTCATGACCTGTGGTCTTACTGTACAGGACCCGAACATGTGTCCCTTTTTTCATTCTACACACTTGCCTAAATTTTCTTAAATATTTCACACTCATCCCCTTAACCAGTATAACAGTGACCTTGGATACTGCTGTCCATTCTACTTACCACCATTAACTTTGCTGTGCATTGGCTTGCCAAATTTGCCATCCCTTTTATTGCAGCTCCAGCATCTATCTCCTGCCAAGTGTCTCACTACCTTTCACCAACACCTTATAAGAAAGACATCACTCATTACACACTTGCTGAGATCAAGCCAGGTGCTGCAACTCCTTTGCTTGCCAGCCACTCAGTATCCAATTTAGATTGTAAGCTTTGTGATTAACATGAATGATTAGGGAGAACAGACTCACTTAACAATCTATCTAACCTTTTTAAAGGAATATTCCCTTGGCACTGCACTGGTTAACAATTTCGGCAGTCCACACTGGAGGCAACATTTGTTTTTATATTTCTGGTCATTTGGCCACTCTTGACTTCTTTTAGGCCAGGATGGTGGCTGCGGCAACCAGCAACTTGTGTGAATCGGCTAACGCCTCAGTGCAGGGTCACGCCAGTGAGGAGAAACTCATCTCCTCTGCCAAGCAAGTAGCAGCATCCACTGCCCAACTTCTGGTCGCCTGCAAGGTGAAAGCTGACCAAGACTCGGAAGCCATGAGAAGACTCCAGGTAGCGTGTTAAAATCTACATGAGGATATGGCAGTATTGCACAGAATGCGCACTGCTAGTTGGCCCTTTATAACAGCTGTAGGGTAGTTCTATAACCGATTGTATGGGCAATAATTATGTAACTTGTATTGTGTGTCAGACAGCAAAGCTCACAATGGAATTGAGGTATTCATTCATACCACCATTTTATGTTTAGTTCCTGTTTTTGTTTTGTTTTGTTTTTTTGCATTTGCTAAGAAATATTTTTTTCCCTAATCTTGTCCTTCACTCCCCTTCTGCTTCATGTCTCTCCTCTTGCCTTCCTTACTTTCCACACTTGCCCTACTTCTGTCACACAGGCTGCTGGAAATGCTGTGAAAAGAGCCTCTGATAACCTGGTCAGAGCAGCACAGAAAGCTGCATTCAGCAAAGCTGAGGATGATGATGTTGTGGTGAAGACGAAGTTTGTAGGAGGAATTGCACAGGTTAGTATCATTGGTTGCTACTAGTTTACCAGAACAATGCCTTAGTGCAGCAAAGCCAAGTGATGCAGTATGTCTCTTGAAGCAGCTGCCCATTTACTGTTTGTTCCATTATGAGGCAGAAGCTGTTTTTAAAGGAACCCTATCATGGAACAAACCTAGGAGTGATTGCTGACCTCTCCTGAACATAATAGCTGCTACCTGGCTGTCATGCCGATCCCCTATCCGCAATATTTTGAGACACTGCCCTAGAACAAGTATGCAGATAGGAACTTATGGCGTTTCTCTGACTTCTCTGATCTGTAAATTTGTTTCTGGTCAGTAACTCAAAGCTAGTAATAGCTAGCATATTTAAAGAACCGAGGAACGTGCTTCTGATAACATTCGAAAGTCTAGTTGTTGGGCTTCTTGCACATGGGTGAAAATATTCTCCATATTTGCAACTTGCAAGCCAAGTAGTGTATTTTTTTTTCTTTTTATGGATCTGAGCACAAATGTGTGTATTGTCTGAGGCAGATCACACAGCTGCTTAAAGATCCACAATCTATCAATGTGTTCAGAACCTTAAGAAAATAAATTACCCTTCAGTTTTGTCATTTATATGTATACAGAAGTACATACAAGCATATGCGAGTCAGCTAAAAGAGGATCAAGAATTTTACACGTGTATAGGCATACACACGTTTATGCGTCCGTATGTGTGTATTTGCAAGGTCTTTACAGAACATAATGTTGTTTTTTTTTTTTTTTTATGCGGGATCTTTTTTTTGCTAGAAAGATCCTGCGTATACCCATCAGTAAATTACATCTGTGTGACTTGTCGTGTTAAAGCTGTTAATAACCAGGGGCGGACTGACCATTTGGAAACTCGGGCACTGCCCGAGGGCGCGGGGTCAGTAGGGGGACCCCATGAGATGCCACTGGTACTTTTTCATAGGCTTTTTTGAGTTTGGGCAAGGACACAGGGGGATCCCCTATTGCCCCATGATCCCCTATTGCCCGGGGGCCCCATGAGTTTTCATTCCGCCCCTGTTAATAGTATAACACAGAAATGTATCCAGCATGTTTATCATCTTTGGGTTTTATAATGATCATCTTTTGTATGTTTCAACCTGCTGGTACTTGTGTTGTATGTTCTTTTTATTTATTTATTTTGTGAATGTCTGGAAAAGGCCTGTAACAGAATGATTGATATGTGTCCATAGATCATAGCAGCTCAAGAGGAAATGTTAAAGAAGGAAAGAGAGCTGGAAGAAGCCAGGAAGAAGCTGGCTCAGATCCGCCAACAACAATATAAATTCCTACCATCCGTCCTGAGAGAGGAGGAGAGCTAGTGATTGCAGCAGACTCGAGACCTGGAAACAGTCCACTCTGCAGCAGGCAGGGACAGAACCACAGTTGGAAACCAACCCTCTACGTCGCCCACTGGAATCTAAAGCCACTAAACCATAGAGGGATGGAGTGTGGATTGCCCACTCCAAAGACAAAGCAGTATTATTTCCCAAGGTGGACATACCCAAATATATAAATAAAGTATATATATATGTAAAGATATATACAGCCGCAGGGGACTGAGAGACTGTGACATGAAGGACAGCCCCTCCTGCAATAATGTTTGTGCGTTGAAAGATCTGTCCCCTTTCCCTTTTCATTCAGCCACTTACCTACTGCAGGTGCCTGCAATGCAGAGCAAAGCATGAAAAGGGGTTAAATTACCTTTTTTGTAGTTTGTTTTACAGTTTGATTTCATCACTGGAATAATTAATGTACCCTCAAATGATGTACACAGAGCCTCTTGGGAATTAAAGGCACTTGTAATGAAGTTGTGATTTACAATTATGTTTCATAAGGGACTTCTGTCTCTGGACAGATCAGTCTGCTCAGTCACATGGCATTACATTGAGTGGTATTACACTAGTATTAGTACTATCAGCACACACAAACCTTTGTTTACCGATACTGCAGTCAAGATAAAAAAAAAAATTTTGTTAGTGAGGTCATATTAATTTTTTGTGTTACTGTAAGCTGCGTAATTATAGTGAGGATTGAAACTGTTTCCAAGAGGTGGGATTTGTGGTTACAGCATCTGTTGATCTTAGGCAAGCTTGCATTTTGTTCAGCAGCGAATTGTATGCACACCCTTGGTATATGGGGTACCCGATAGACTTCATTAGGTTCCAGATCTGTTGGAGATACCTTGTTCTGGCAAAGTGCATTCAGTTGCAAAAAACACTTATTCTCAATTTTTTTTACTTTCAAAAGAGTGTTTTAACGTAATGGTTAGTACTCTCCTGTTAAACTTGTGAACAGGACATGCCTTCCTACGACAGACATAAAACACATTCAGATTGTTCTTCATTATGTGCTGAGCAATGCTTAGAGATATGTGCATGCTCTGAGTGTCAGCAAGCACTTGTCAGCAGCTTTGAAGGGGTCCAGCTTTATCTAACATGAGAATTTTTGGCAGCTTTGTATGTGCAAACTGTATCTGCTATAGCACTAGTTAGTGCCGCGACATTCGGTGTATGGTATAGTTGTAGCTCAACAAGCAGCCAGTTTTGGGTTTCTGGCTTTGTAAAGATTAAACGGTTTTTTCCAATTTGTTTATAAAAATGATAAATGGAATTTGCTTATAAGGTACTGTATTTTGCTCAGATTTTACAGTAAAATTCTCATGTGCAGTTCCAAAGCTAACCACATGGCAGCAGTGTTGTACAAATAACTTGGACTGTGTCAACATTGTTGTGGCATTTCCTGCTCCTAACAGAAGCCTGGTGGCATTGATCTCTGTACAAAGGTAAAGTGTTAGTGAAATGAGGACATTTCTATGATACAAAAGGGTGATCTATTAAGGTGAATTGAACGCATGTTCCCGTCAAACATCCAGTTGTGGAAAGGGGAAAAAAATAATGCATATAACTGGATGTTTAAAATTCCTCTTTACTTTTAGTAGAGCTCCCCAAAGTAAGACATTTGAGTTGTAAAAGTGCATGAGTACAAGTGTGAGTACAAGTGTGGCCTGGGCCACCTGATAGGTAAACCAGATCACCAAAGCTTAACCCCTTGACACAGACGTCACACAAATATGCGGCCTCACAGAACTGGGATTTTTTTTCTGTGTGGCCAAATTTGCAGTGCAGCTGCTGTCTTTGTGCACAGCGTGCTCCCAGGACAAAAACCAGGGTGTCGCTGAGAGCCCTGGGTCCCGTTCTAACGATCGGGACCCGGGACTCCCGATTCCAGGTCACATGATTGATCATTGTGATAGCCAGTCTGAGGCTATCACAGCACTCACTATGAAGCCCGCCCCCTTGTTTTTTTTTTTCTCTCTGAATGGAGGAGATACATTGCAGCTCTCTCCTTGCATAGAGAAAAAAAACCTGTTTGTAAAAAAAAAAAAAAAGATTAATATTAAAAAAAAATAAAGAAAAAAAATACCTAGATCAAGGCTTGATCTAGTTCAGTGCCAGGGTTAGTGTTTGGGTAAGGGTCAAAGGTCAGAATTTTTTGTTTTTTTAAATGGTGTTAGTGTCAGTGTGTTTTAGGTAAAAAAAATAAAATGTGCACTATTGTTTCTGGGCTGTACAGGTATAAACCACAAATAACATATTTGGTATCACTGAGATCGTCAAGAGCTGGAAAAATGTATTTTGGGCTGTTCGTTGGTGGTAGGTTATGGTTGTAACAAGAAACACACAGATAAATGAATTTTTTTTTTTTTTTTTTTCACTATTGTGGGCCAGTAACAAGCTGAGATAGGAGAGATCTGTGTGTAAACAGCTCAGATCTCTCTCTCCTGTTTGCATGGACTCCCTAGTAAAACTGCACACAGATTACACAGTAAAACACAAACCGCACACGGTTAACCCTTTGATCGCCCCAAATGTTAACACCACCTTGCCCAGTGCCATTAGTACAATGTCAGTGCTTTTTGTTAGCACTGATCACTGTATTGGTGTCACTGGAGAAGTCCATGGCAGATAGTTCCCACCCAGTGTCAGGATGCCCTCAGTCCCGCCATAAGTTTTTATAAGTCGCTGATCGCCGCCATTACTAGTATAAAAAAAAAAAAAAAAATCCACTGTATATACACCCATTTGTAGGCGCTATAACTTTCAGGTAAACCAATTAATATACACTTATTGGGATTTTATTTTATTTTTAGTAAAGATGTAGCAGAATACATTTTAGCCTAAATTTATGAAGAAATGTGATTTTTGTTTTATTGGATATGTTTTATAGCAAAAAGTCAAAAGTATTTTTTTTCCCCAAAATTTTGTCTTTTTTTGTTAGCACAAAAAATAAAAACCACATAGGTGATCAACTACCACTGAAAGCTCTATTTGTGGGGAAAACCATTACATACATTTTATTTATGTACAGCATTGCATGACCGCGCAATTGTCAGTTAAAGTAACGCAGCACTGTATCGCAAAAAATGGCCTGGTCATGAAGGGGGGGGGGGGATTTTCTGGAGCTGAAGTGGTTAATGGACAAGATAGAAAATAAAAGTTAAACGCTTTTTGTTGAAGTCCATTGAGGGACATAGGTCACAGATTCTACCCCTCTGTGTTTATGATCATGCTTTTGGTACTGCTTTGCTACAAAACTAAGGCATGTCCAGTAGTAGGAGGGGTTGTTCTGGGCTGGCCAACAATGCATTGCGTTCTTTGAATGGGTGGAGTAGATTCTGCCATTCTCCCTGGTGCTAGGGTTTGGCATGTGGTGGACCAGGTTGATAATTTACTGGGAGGGGCTGGGCATAACCCAGCTGTCTAGGTCCATGTTGGAACCAATGACAGGATACAAGGAAGGTGGACACTCTTTAAGAATCAATTTAAAGAACTAGGCTGCAAGTTGAAGGGAAGGACCTCCAAGGTGATATTCTCTGAAATAGTGCCTGTGCCATGCGCAAGATAAAAAAGACAGGAAGAATAGAGAACTGCATGCATGGCTAAAGGCTTAATGTAAGAGGGAAGGATTTGGATTTCTATAGCACTGGACTGACTTTTCATTGGGGTGCAACCTATATGCTTAAGATGGTTTGCAGCTAAATAGGAGGTCTGCTGTGCTGGGGGATAGGTTCATGGGGAGACTGGAGGAGTATTTAAATTAGGATTGAGGAGGAGGAGAATTGGATTATAATTGGTCAGACAGGGGTCAATCCCTATTGGTGGGTGGAATGGGGAAAGATTAGGGGAGGCCTATGGCAGGTGATAAAGAAGGTTCCCATGTTACAACCATTGCAAATGGTACTGAAAAAAAATGCAAAATGCGACAATAAATTAAACTGTTCACCAATGCCAGAAGTCTGACAAGCAAAATAGGTGAGTTGGAAGGTTTGGTGCACGAAGAGAACTAGGATTTAATTGGTATTGCTAATTCTTGGCTTCATTCTTCACATGACTGAGCTAATATTACTGGCTATGTTCTCTTTTGGCGAGACAAGGTCAAAAGGAAAGGTAGTGTGCTGTCTTTCTCTATGTGAGAAGTGATCTCAAAGAGTGTGTGATCGAGGACCTAGTTGATGGAGAGTGTGATGAGACTGAAGCATTATGTTTGGAACTGCACATGGGGGTGCGTACTACAAAGGTAATCATTGGAGTTTGTTATAGGCCTCCCATTGTTAATAAGGTGGAGACTCCGCTCCTTGCTAAGATAGAAAGGGCTGGCACAGTGCTGATAATGGGGGGATTTTAACTACATGAAAATTGACTGGAGTAATGGCACTGCTGGAACAGTTAAAGGGAAAAAATATATAAACCTATTACAAGACAATTTTATGGTACAGTTCATAGAGGCCCCAACTAGGATTGATGCTCTTCTGGACCTGGTAATCTCAAACCATGCAGAGCTTGTGACTAATGTTAATATAAAAGAACACCTGGGTAGCAGTGATCATAACATGACCTCATTTAATTTTAGCTGTAAACAACAAGCACATACTGGAAAGATAAAAACACAACTTTAAGTGCAAATTTTCCAAGGGTGAGGGCTGCTCTCCAAGACTTAGACTGGGAGTAAATATTGGCATCGATGAACACAAACAGTAATGGGATTTCTTCAAAAAGTTTGTATGTGAACACACTGCAAAATACACTATATTGCCAAAAGTATTGGGACACCCCTCCATATCATTGGATTCAGGTGTTCCAATCACCTCCATGGCCACAAGTGTATAAAATCAACCACCTAGGCAGGCAGACTGCTTGTACAAAAATTTGTGAAAGAATGGGTCACTCTCAGGAGCTCAGTAAATTCAAGCGTACAGGGTACCGTGATAGGTTGCTACCTGTGCAATAAGTCCATCTGTGAAATTTCCTTTCTACTAAAT